GAGGGAGTTCCCATAAGATTGTCAGCTGATTTATCAAAAGAAACTTTGCAGGCCAGAAGGGAGTGGCAAGAAATATTTAGAGTGATGAAAAGCAAGAACCTACAACCAAGGTTACTCTACCCTGCAAAGCTGTCATTTAGAATCGATGGCCATATAAAGAGTTTCCCAGACAAGAAAAAGTTAAAGGAGTTCATCATCACCAAACTGTTATTATATGAAATGTTGAAGGGTCTTTTGAAGAAAAAGATAAAATATATAAACAAACAAAATGGCAGTGAATACATATCTATCGACAATGGAATCTACAAACAAAATGAACAGGCAGAACAGAAACATTCTCATAGATAACAGAGACTATTTTGTTGGTTGCCAGATGGGAGGGCGGTTGGGGGAATGGGTGAAAAAGGTGAAGGAATTAAGAAGTACAAATTGGTTGCTAGACTGACAAACCTCAAAGGGCAGGGGGTTGGGGCAGGGAAGAAATAAACCAAAGAACTTATATGTATATATGTATAACCAATAGACACAGACAACAGTGTGGGAAAAGGCAGGAGGGGGGCAGGAGTGGGGAGGAAGGGGTTAATGGGGGGGAAATGAGGAACATCTGTAATACATTCCACAATAAAGATTAAAAAAAAAAAATTATGATGTAGATAAATATATTGTGCCATTTAGACACCATATGTAGTAAAAATAAATGAATTACAAATATAGATAACTACATAAATGAATATAAAGAACCCAATACTGCCCTGGCCAGTTTTGCTCAGCAGTTAGAGCATCGGTCTGCAGTCCATAGCGACCAGGGTTCGGTTCCTGCTAAGGGCATGTACCTCGGTTGCAGTTTGTCCCCGGCCCTGGTTGGTCATGCGGGTGGCAGCCACTCGATGTGTTCCTTTCACATCGATGTTTCTCTCTCTCTCTCTCTCCCCCTCCCACTCTGTCTGAACAACAACAAAAAATGTCCTCGGGTGAGGATAAAAAAAAAAAACTAAAAAAAAAACCCTAATATTTAATTAAACAAAGCTAGCTGCAAAAGAAGTCACTGCATGATTCAATATATATAAAGTTCAAAAACATGCAAAACTAAACAATATGTTGCTATCCAACAGAACTCTCTACAATGATGCAAATATTCCATAGTTTACTATTCAGTATGGTAACCACTGGCTACATGTGACTAATGAGCACTTAAAATATGGCTAATGTGACTAAGGAGAATGAAGTTTTATTTCATTTAAATTTAAACTTAAATTTTCGCCCAGCCAGTGTGGCTCACTGGTTGAGCATCGACCCATACACCAAGAGGTTGCAGGTTCGATTCCCAGTCAGGGCACATGCCCAGATTGTGGGCCCAATCCCCAGTGGGGGGCGTGTAGGAGGCAGCCAATCAATGTTCTCTCTCATCGATGTTTCTATCTCTCTCCCCTTTCCTCTCTCTCTAAAATCAATTAAAAAAATTTTTTAACTTAAATTGTCACCTGTGCCTAGTGGCTACCATATTGTACAGCCAGGTTTATAATCAATGGAATAACAAATATAAAATTCAGAATACTGTTTAGCTCTAAGAGAAAGAGAGAGAAATAGAATAGGGAGGGTACACAGGGAATTTCAAAAGTAGCGATAATGGTCTTTTTCCTAAATGTGTCTCCTTATATTGTTATTATTTAAACTATACATATATTGTACTATAAAAATTATTTCTTATGAATTAAATATTTAATAAAACAAAAATAGTAGCCCTGGCCAGTTTGGCTCAGCGGTTAGTACATCGGCCCGCAGACCAAAGAGTCGCGGGTTCTATTTCAGCCAAGGGCACGTACCTCGGTTGCCATTTGGTCCCTGGCCCTGGTCGGGGTTGTGCAGGAGGCAACCAGTTGATGTGTCTCTCTCACATCGATGTTTTTCTCTCTCTCTCCCTCCCCCTCCCACTCTGTCTGAAAATAAATGGAAAAATATCCTTGGGTGAGGATTAAAAAAACAAAAACAAAACAAAATAGTGAATAAAGTGGTGGGTACATGAATGTCTATATTGTTATTATTTCATGTCTATATAATAAAATATTTTTATTAAAAAGATTTCTAGGCCCTGGCTGGGTGGCTCAATTGATTGGAGCATCATCCCATATACCAAAAGATTGCTGGTTTGATTCCCAGTCAGGGGACACCTAGAAAAAATAAATCCTCACCACCCAGGCCAGTTTGGCTCAGCGGCTGACCGTCGGCCTGCGGACCAGAGAGACCCGGGTTCGGTTCCTGCTAGGCGCACGTACCACCAAAAAAAAAAAAAATCCTCACCTGGCCAGTGTGGCTCAGTGGCTGAGCATCGACCCATGCACCAAGAGGTCACCGGTTCAATTCCCAGTCAGGGCACATTCCTCTCCCTTCCTCTCTAAAATCAATAAAGAAAAAGAAAAAATAAATCCTCCCCCAACTCCAGACCCAGTCAACCCTGTTCCCACCCTCCTTCTGTGGCAGCATAGTATGAAGCTAGGAAAATTCCTGGGAAAGTGGAATGGGGAAACTGAGACAAGAAAATTAAACAAGACCAAGCAGTTTGGGCAGTTCACAGCCAGCTTATGAACCACAAGACCTTATCTTCCCCAACCAAGGACACTTGAGAGCAAATGGCTTATATCCCTCCTGCCTAACTAGAGAATACATAGTTTAAATCACCCTGGCCTGGGAAAATAGAGAACAAAGACCCAATTAATGCCATCTGTGCCAGCTAAACCCAAGGACAGATAAAGTCAAGGAACAAATAACAAACACAAAACAAAACAAAAAAAAAAACATTTAAGCCAGACCCAAGATAAAAATAAAATAATGAAACCGACCAAATGATAACCCAAAACTCCCCTGTACACTCATTTTGATACATCAGCATATTAAAAATGCTGCTGAATGCTGGAAAGCTGATGAATATTCTACTAAAACCCTCCCCTAAGATTCTCACCTGTAGGGAAAAGGGGGTGGGGTCATAAAAAGCCCTCAGGACAAAGCCTCACTCTAGAGCATGCCCAGGCTCCTTTCTGGGCATGAACTTTTTATTTCTTCCTAAACTCTAAGGGTCCCCAAGAGACCTGCAAGCAGGGGAGCAGTGGGCAGCAGCAGCAGGACCTGGGCTCACCCCCAATCCTGTCTCCAAGGCTCTATTTTTCTCTGACTCCTCGCGGGCTGACAGCAGCCCCGCCGTGGCTCACCTCTGTCCTGTAATGTTTCTAGAGAGCCAGAGCACAGCGCCACCCAGGCTCTCTCCTGTTTCTTCTACCCTAAGTCCTTCCTTGGTCTCACTGTCCCCAGCTTTAATAAACATACTCTCAAACCCACCCAAACTCGTGTTGTGAAATCTTTCTACACGAAGTCAAGAACCAGTAGGCCTGGGGCTGACGTGCTCGGGGCTGGTCCCTGTCCGGTAACACCTTGAATGGCAGGAAAAACAAGATGTATTACCTGTCACTGCGTAACAGATTATTCCAAAACTTAGTGGCTTAAAATAACAAAAACTTATTGTTTCACAGTTTCTGTGGGTCAGGAATCTTGAGTGTAGCTTAGTGGGGTGCCTGGCTTAAAGTCTCTCACGAGGTTGCAGTTAGGATGTTAACCAGAACTGTGGTCCCGCTGGGTGGTTGGAGCAGGTGAAGAGGTGCTTCCCAGCTCATTCACATGGCAGTGATTTGGTTCTTTGTGGGCTGTTAGATTGAGGACTTCAGTTCCTCGTTGGCTCCTGCTGGAGGCCACTCCATAGGGCCATAGGGTCCACGACGTGGCAGCCAGCTTCCCTCAGGGCAGGAGAGCCAGAGAGAATGTTCAGGACAGAAGTCTTTTTTTTTTTTTTCCTCCTCACCCACAAGGAAGGTGGTGGTTCTTATTTTTATCCTCACCCAAGGACATTTTTCCATTTTTTGTTCAGATAGAGTGGGAGGGAGAGAGAGAGAGAGAGAAACATCGACGTGAAAGGGACACATCGAGTGGTTGCCACCCACACGACCCAGCCAGGGCCGGGGACAAACCGCAATTGAGATACGTGCCCTTAGCGGGAACCATACCCGGGTCTCTCTGACCGCTGAGCCAAACCGGCCAAGGCAGGACAGAAGTCTTTTGATAGCCTAACATTGAAAGGACTAGGCCACCATCTCTGCCACTTTTTTTGCTAGAAGCATGGCACTAAATCCAGCTAAGAGTAAAGGGGAGGGGACTAAACAAGGGTGTGAATACAGGAGACAGGGATGATGGAGGCCATTCTGGAAGCTACCTACTACCCCAGAGCACATCTGTCTGCTTATGGCAGTGATCCACAAAGAAAGGAAATGACAATGCAGGAGAGAAGAGAGGCCTAGAAAAGGCAGAGGAAACCCAGGCACAGGCCTTTGCAGTCACCTGCCCAGTGCATTTTCACTGCCCTCTCAGCACCTGACTGCACAGCCTGATTGACCAGGGTGTGTAAAACAAGTCCGCTGAACCTGCTGTCTGTCATAGCAAGGTTTGTCATCTTGCCCTGCTTATAAAGCCACACCCAATCTGATCATATCCTCCCCCACAGTAACACCCCAACTGTGCTTCCTTTTTAAGTATCACCTCCCACTAAAATATGTGGGGAACAGGAAGTTTGTTCCTTGTCTGTCCCTGGATCAGTTCATGCTGCAACTAGTTGCTCCAATATCACTTGCCTACCACCCACTGATGTCAGCTCAGCCCTAGGCTTCTATTCCCTTTCCCCTTGTAAGCCCCAACTAACAGCCTCCTTTGATGTAATGCCACCAACCATGACAACCTCAGATGGTTGATACGACAAGGTAGCTGTCCTTTCACTGACCCCGACTTTAATGCCCCACCATGTGACCAACCTCCCAGACTACCACAGCCCACACTGCTGCCTTGTTAATTAAAGTGTGGGGTTAACAGAGGCAATCTTTGACACAGATCAATATAGCAATGATAAAACAGCATAAAAGCAAACATTAGATATCACTGTTCTTAAAAACTCTGGGTCAACTCACCACAATGAAACTCTCACAGACGTATTTTTGGCTCAGACCTGGCCATCTGCCATGTTGTTGGACTGTGCGCTGCCTGCTTCTTTCTTCTCTCTTGCCCAGTTTCCTCTGCACACTGAAAATGTTCTCTTCATTATGCTGAGCAATCAGCAACCTTACCTTAATTATGAAGCAGGCTATAGGCCTACTACTGCATATCCAAAAACCATATTAAATGGCTCTGCTAAAGGGAAGAAGGCTCATACATGTTGGTTCTGGACTCAAAAAAAGAATTTAATCAAATACAAAACCAAGAATAAGCCTTCAACTTAGTTTTTTCTCTTACATATCCTGGTCAAAAATTTTAAGGCATGTTTCTTCAGTCTCTGTAAGATAACAGAACAGTAAAAATAACAAGAAAAACTCATTCTGGTCAAGATGGTGGAGTAGGTACAGGTTATGATTGCCTCCTCCTACAATCATATCAAATGTACAACTAAATTTAGAACAACTATCATTGAGAAGCACCTGAAGACTAGCTGAACAGAATTCCTATAACTAAAGATATAAAGAAGCCACGCGACTGATAGAAAGGGTGGAGATGCAGAACCAGCAGTTCCCACACCCATGGTGTGGCAGTTAAGATTCGGGAGGGAGAGCCCCAGTTGGGTGGCTCAATTGGTTGGAGTGTCATCCCATACACCAGAAAGTTTGCAGGTTCAATTCCTGGTTGGGGCACATATGGGAGACAACTGATTGATGTTTCTCTATCACATCAATGTCTGTCTCTCTCTCCTCTCTCTCTCTCTCTCTCTCTCTCTCTCTCTCTCTCTCTCTCTCTCTCTCTCTGTGTGTGTGTGTGTGTGTGTCCTGCCCTCCCTTCCTCCCACTCTATCTGAAAATCAATGGAAAAATATCCTCGGGTGAGGATTAAAAAAAAGAGAGAGAATAGTTTAAGGGACCTCTGGGACATCAAGCATGTCAACGTTTGCATCATAGGGGTGCCAGAAAGAGAAGAAAGAGTGCAAAGGATTGTAAACCTATTTGAAGAAATAACGACATCCCTAATCTGATGAAGGAAAAAGACAACAAATCCAAGAAGCATAGCAAGTTCCAAACAAGATGAACCCAAAGTGGCTCATGTCAAGATACATCACAATTAAAAGGCCAAAGGTTAAAAACAGAGAATTTTTTTTTTTTTATCCTCACCCGAGGACATTTTTGCATTTATCTTTAGATAGAGCAGGAGGGAGAGAGGGAGGAAGAGAGAGAAGCATCAACGTGAGAGAGACACATGGAGTGGTTGCCACCCATATGACCCCAACCAGGGCTGGGGACAAACTGCAACCAAGGTACGTGCCCTTAGTGGGAACCGAACCCGGGACTCTCTGGTCTGTGGGCCAACGCTCTAACCGCTGAGCCAAACTGGCCAGGGCCAACCAGAGAATCTTTTTTTTTTTTTATCCTCACCCGAGGACATTTTTCCATTTTTTGTTCAGGTAGAGTGGGAGGGAGAGAGAGGAACAGAGAGAGAGAGAGAAACATCGAGTGGCTGCCACCCGCACAACCGACCAGGGCCGGGGACAAACTGCAACTGAGGTACGCGCCCTTAGCGGGAACCGAACCCGGGTCTCTCAGGACCGCAGGCCGACACTCTAACCGCTGAGCCAAACCGGCCAGGGCCCAACCAGGGAACCTTAAAAGCAGCCAGAGAAAAGCAGTTAGATGTGTATAAGGGAGTTCCCATAAGACTGTCAGCTGATTTCTCAAGAGAAACTTTGCAGGCTAGAAGAAAATGACACAATGTATTCAAAATGATGAAAGGCAGAGACCTACAACCAGGATTACTCCACCCAGCAAGGCTATCATTTAGAATCTAGGGACAGATCAAGAGTTTCCCAGACAAGAAAAAACTAAAGGAATTCATCACCACTGAACCAGTATTATAAGAAATGTTAGCCCTGGCCGGTTTGGTTCAGCGGTTAGATCGTCGGCCTGCGGTCCGGAGAGACCTGGGTTCGGTTCCCGCTAAGGGCATGTACCTCGGTTGCAGTTTGTCCCCGGCCCTGGTTGGTCGTGAGGGTGGCAGCCACTCGATGCGTCTCTTTCACGTCAATGTTTCTCTCTCTCTCTCCCTCCCACTCTCTCTGTACAAAAAATGGAAAAATGTCCTCGGGTGAGGATAAAAAATAAAAAATAAAAAAATGAAAAGTTTAAAGAAAAAAAAAAAGAAATGTTAAAGGGACTTCTTTAAGTAGAAAGGATCAAAAATCTGAATAAGAAAATATAGGCAAGAAGAAAATTCTCACTGACAAAGACAAACAGTAAAAGCAATGGATCAAACAAATATAAAGTTAGTACAACGGCTAAAAGACAAAAGTAGGAAGATGACGTGCTATTACAACAATAAATTAAGGGATACATACACACAAAAGAAGTAAAAAATAATAATAAAAAACACAAACAGCCCTGGCTGGTTTGGCTCAGCGGTTAGAGCATCGGCCTGCGGTCCTGAGAGACCCGGGTTCGGTTCCCGCTAAGGGCACAAACTTCGGTTGCAGTTTGTCCCCGGGCCTGGTTGGTTGTGCGGGTGGCAGCCACTCGATGTGTCCCTTCACATCGATGTTTCTCTCTCTCTCTCTCTCTTCCCCTCTCTCCTTCCCGTTCTATCTGAATAAAAAATGGGGAAAAAAAGAAAGACACCCACAGACTGAAACTGCAAAGGGATGGAAAAGGATTTCATGCAAATGGAAATGAAAAAAAAAGCTGGGATAGCAATATTTACACGAGACAAAATACACTTTAAAACAAAGGCTGAAACAAGAGACAAAGAAGGGCATTTTCATAATAATAAAGGGACCAATCCAACAAAAGGATATAACTCTTGAAAATTTCTACACACTCAATGTAGGAGAACCTATGTAAAATATATAAAGCAAATAATGAAGGACATAAAGGGAGAGTTTGACAGTAGGACAATATTGGTAAGGGATGTTAACATCTCACTGACATTAATGGCCAGAACAACCAGACAGAATATCATCAAGAAATCAAGAGCCTTGCCCTGGCCGGTTTGGCTCAGCGGTTGGAGCGTCAGCCTGCGGTCCAGAGAGACCCGGGTTCGGTTCCCGCTAAGGGCACGTACCTCGGTTGCAGTTTGTCCCCGGGCCTGGTTGGTCGTGCGGGTGGCAGCCACTTGATGTGTCCCTTCACATCGATGTTTCTCTCTCTCTCTCTTCCTCTCTCTCCCTCCCGCTCTATCTGAACAAAAAAAAAAAAAAAGAAAGAAAGAAATCAAGAGCCTTAAATGACGTATTAGACCAGATGGACGTAATATTTTCAGGACATTTCACTGAAAAGCATCAGAATATACATTTTTCTCAAGTGCTCATGAAACATGTTCCAAGATAGACCAAGTATTAGCCCATAAAACAAGTCTCAATAAATTTAAGAAGATTTAAATCATATCAAATATCTCCTCTAATCAAAATGGTATGAAACTAGAAATCAATTTAAAATAAAAAACACAAACATGAGGAGGCTAAATAACCAAACAATGAATGGATTAACAATGAGATCAAGGAAGAAATCAAAAGATACCTTGAGCCAAATTAAAATGAAAACACAATGACCCAAAATCTATGGGATACAGCAAAAGCAGTCTAAGAGGGAAATTCATGGCAATAAAGACCTACTTCATGAAATTAAAAAACAAAACAAAACAGTTTTAATAAGCAATCTAACATTAAGGAACTAGAAAAAGAAGAACAAAGCCCAAAATGAGAAAAAGTGAGGAAATAGTAAATATCAGAGTGGAAATAAAAGAGAATTAAAAAAAAAAAAATCAATGAAACTAAGAGTTTTCTTGAAAAGATAAACAAAATTGATAAACCTTTAACCAGACTCATAAAAGAGAGAGAGAACCCAAATAAATAAAATCAGAAATAAAAGAGAAGTGACAACTGATGCCAAAGAAATACAAAGAATTTTAAGGAAATACTACACAGTTATATGCCAACATGTTAGACAACCTGGAGGAAATGGACATATTCCCAGAAACATACAATCTTTCAACACTGAATTGGGAAGAAACAGAAAATAGGCTTCCAAACTCATTTTACAAGGCCAGCATTACCCTGATACCAATACCAGACGAAGACACTTCAAAAAAATAGAGAATTATAGGTCAGTATCCCTGATGAACATAGATGTAAAAATCCTCAACAAAATATTAGCAATACACCCTGGCCAGGTAGCTCAGCTGGTTAGAGCATCATCCCAATATGCCAGAGTTGTGGGTCCAATCACCTGTCAGGGCTCATACAAGAATCAACCAAGAAATGCATAAATAAGTGGAACAACACATCTATGTTTCTATCTTTCCAATAAACAAAGGTATCTAAAAAATAAATCTTAAAATATTAGCAAAACAAATTCAGCAATACATTAAAAACATCATACACCATGATGAAGTGGAATTTATTCCTGGGAGGCAAAGTTGGTTTAGTATCCACAAATCAATTAATGTGATACATCACATAAAAAAGGATAAAAATCTTATGATCACATCAATAGATGAGACAAACCATTTGACAAAAATCTAACATCATTTATGATAAAAACTCTCAGCAAAGTGGGGATAGAGAGAACATGCCTCAACATAATAAAGGCCACACATGAAAAACCCACAACTAACATCATACTTACTGGTGAAAAGCTGAGCTTTTTCTTTAAGACCAGGAACAAGACAAGGTTGTCCCCTTTCACCATTTCTATTAAACACATAAGTCCAATCCACAGCAATGAGACAAGAAATAAAACACCATCCAGCCCTGGCCAGTTTGGCTCAGCAGTTAGAGCGTCGGCCTGCGGTCCGGAGAGACCCGGGTTCGGTTCCTGCTAAGGGTACATACTTCGGTTGCAATTTGTCCCCGGCCCTGGTTGGTTGTGCGGGTGGCAGCCACTCGATGTGTCCCTTCACGTCGATGTTTCTCTCTCTCTCTCCCTCCCACTCTTATCTGTACAAAAAAATGGAAAAATATCCTCGGGTGAGGGAAAAAAAAAAAAATTTTTTTAAAACACCATCCAAACTGGAAAAGGAAAAGTAAAACTGTCATTATTTACAGATGATACTATATGTAGAAATCCCTAAAGATTCTACAAAAACAAAAACAAAAAAAAAAACTATTAGAACTGATAAATAAATTCAGTAAAATAGCAAGATACAAAATTAATATTCAGAAATCAGTTGCATTTTTATACACTAAGAGAAACTAAGAAAACAATCCCATTTGTAATTGCATAGTAAAGAATAACATACCCAGGAATAAATTTAACCAAGAAAGTAAAGAGCTATACTCAGAAAACTACAAGAAAGCAATTGAAAAAGATACAAATAAATGGAAGTATATACAGTGCTTAACATCATTAAAATGTCCATATTCCCCAAAGTAGTCTATAGATTCAGTGCAATCCCTATGAAAATACCAATGGCATTTTTCACAGAACTATAACAAACAAACCTAAAATTTATATGGAACCATGAAAGACCCCAAATAGCAAAGAAAGAAAAAAGAACAAAGTTGGAGTTATCATCCTACCTGATATCAAAGTATACTACAAGGCTATAGTAATCAAAACAGCATGGTACTGGCATAAAATAAGACACATAAGTCAATAGAACAGAACAGAGGGCCCAGAAATAAACTCACAAACAGGACAAGAATATACAATGAATTAAAGACAGTCTCTTCAACAGATGGTGTTGGGTAAACTGGACAAATACATGCAAAAAAAAGAAAGGAACTAGACCACTTTCTTACACCATATACCAAAATAACCCCCAAAACCTCAAGATGGATTAAAGACTTAAATGTAAGACCTGAACTCATAAAACTCCTAAAAGAAAATATAAGTTATAAACTCTGTGACATTGCTCTTAGCAATGTCTTTTTGGATATATCTGCTCAGGCAAGGGAAATAAAAGAGAAAAGTAAACAGACTGAAAGCCCACACCCACCCTTGGTGTCTGAATCGGTGTTAGTCCTGGGCATCAGGAATTATTTATTTCTTTGTTCCCCAAATGAATTAGACCTGATTTTCTCTGCTAGCCAAGTTATAAAGTTCTCTGGGTTAGATGGACAGGTTTTAACACACTTCCCATGATGTGATAGTTATTTCCCTGTACGGCACATAGTGTGAGGTGAATACTTACTTGTTCAATGGATCCATTAGCTGGAGCCACTTATGTACACCCTCCCTCCATATTGTTTGGAATGTCTAGGGGGCATCTCAAGGACTCCGACAGGGTAAGGAATATGCATCTCTCAGGCTAGGGACTGAAGTGTGTGTGGGGGGCGGGGGGGATTGCTGTTATCTTCAGTCAGGCTTTGTTCTCATCTTTGTAGGTCCTTAAATTTGATTTTTATTTTTTTATCCTCAGCTGAGGACATTTTTGCATTTATCTTCGGATAGAGCGCGAGGGAGAAAGGAAGGAAGAGAGAGAGAGAAACATCAATGTGAGAGAGACACATCGACTGATTGCCATCCACATGACCCCACCTGGGGCCGGGGACAAACTGCAACCAAGGTATGTGCCCCTTAGTGGGAACCAAACCTGGCACTCTTTGGTCCACAAGCTAATGCTCTAACCGCTCAGCCAAACCGGCCAGGGCTTGATTTTTATTTATTTATTTATTTATTTATTTATTTATTTATTTATTTATTTAACTTATCTTTATGGCCTGGCCAGTGTGGCTCAGTGGTTGAACGTCGACCCATGCACCAAGAGGTCACAGGTTCAATTCTTGGTCAGGGCACATGCCCATATTGTGGGCCAGATCCCCAGTGTGGGGCATGCAGGAGGTGGCCAATCGATGTTTTCTCTCATCAATGTTTCTGTCTCTCTCTCCCTCTCCCTTCCTCTCTCTAAAATCAATAAAGAAAAAAAAAATTTTTTTTAAGTAAATAATCTTTTTTAAATTTTTTTATTTTTTTATCCTCACCCGAGGACATTTTTTGATATTTTGTTCAGATAGTGTGGGAGGGAGAGAAAGACAGAGAAACATCGATGTGAAAGGGACACATCGAGTGGTTGCCTCCCACATGACCCAACCAGGGCCGGGGACAAACTGCAACCGAGGTACAGGCCCCTAGTGGGAACCAAACCCGGGTCGCAGGCCAACGCTCTAACCGCTGAGCCAAACCAGCCAGGGCATAAATAAACTTATCTTTATGGTTGAATGTATTATAGATGTTCCTCCTTTTTCCCCTATTGATCCCTGCCTCTCCGCTCCCAGCCCCCTCCTGCTTTCCCCCACACTGTGTGCCCATTGGTTATGCACATATGCATGTAAATTCTTTGGTTTATTTCTTCCTATCCTTCCTCCCCCCTTCCCTTTGAGGTTTGTCAGTCTAACAACAAATGTGTACTTCTTAATCCCTTCACCTTTTTCACCCATTTCCCCAACTCCACCTCCCATCTGGAAACCAACAAAATGTTCTCTGTATCAATGAGTCTGTTTCTGTCCTGCTTGTTCATTTTGTTTGCAGATTCCATTGTTGATAGATATGTATTCACTGCCATTTTGTTTGTTCATATATTTTATTTTTTTCTTCAAAAGACCCTTCAACATTTCATATAATAACGGTTTGGTGATGATGAACTCCTTTAACTTTTTCTTGTCTGGGAAACTCTTTATATGGCCATCGATTCTAAATGACAGCTTTGCAGGGTAGAGTAACCTTGGTTGTAGGTTCTTGCTTTTCATCACTCTGAATATTTCTTGCCACTCCCTTCTGGCCTGCAAAGTTTCTTTTGATAAATCAGCTGACAGTCTTATGGGAACTCCCTCGTAGGTAACTAACTGCTTTTGTCTTGTGGCTTTTAAGATTCTCTCTTTGTCTTGAACCTTTGCATTTTGATGATGATGTGTCTTGGTGTGGGCCTCTTGGGGTTCATCTTGTTTGGGACTCTCTGTGTTTCCTGGACTTGTATGTCTTTTTCCTTCACCAAGTTAGGGAAGTTTTCTGTCATTTTTTCAAATAGGTTTTCAATTTCTTGCTCTCTCTCTTCTTCTGGCACCCCCACGATGAGAATGTTGGTATGCTTGAAGTTGTCCCAGAGACTCCTAACACTATCCTCATTTTTTTTGATTCTTTTTTCTTTTTGCTGTTCTGATTAGGTGATTTTTGCTTCCTTATATTCCAAAGCAATGGCTTGCTTCTTGGCTTACCTACTACTCTACTACTGAATCTCGGTAAATTATTCTTTATTTCAGACTGATCCTTTTTTATGCTCTTGAGGCCCTCACTAAGTTCATTGAGCATCCTTATAAGCAGTGTTTTGAACTCTGCATCTGTTAGATTGCTTATCTTCATTTCATTTCGTTCTTTTCCTGGGGTTTTGTTCTGTTCTTTCATTTGGGACATGTTTCTTTGTCCTCTCATTTTGGCTGCCTCTCTGTGCTTGTTTTTATGTATTAAGTAGAGTTTCTATGTCTTCTGGGCTTCCTAGGATGGCCTATTGTAGTAGGTGTCCTGTAGGGTCCAGTGGCACAGCCCCCCGGATCACTCCAGCGGTGCCCTCGAGGTGCACCCCTTGTGTGGACTGTCCACCCTTCTGTTGTAATAGAGTCTTGACTGCTGTTGGCATGTCAATGGCAGGGATTTACTCAGGCTGATTAGCTGCAGGGACTGGCTGCGCCCACTGACCACTGGCCTCTGACTCCCTTGGAGGATCAGCCGTGTAGGGGCCTAACACACAGAGCAAGATTTACTTCCCCAGGGCTCTGGTACCCACTGAGTCCACTCATTGAGTGTGTCACTTGTGGAGGTGGTTGGGTGATAGCGCTTCAACGTGGTCTAATGCTGTCCACTGGGTGTGCTGGCTCTGGAGTAAGGTCAGCCACTGCCTGTGTTCTACCCAGGGCCACCAGGCTTAAGCTACAAAGCGGTCTGCAGATAGCTGCTTCTTGTGCTGGGCTTGGAGGTGCCCAGGCAAAGCCAAGTTGTGAACCAAGGCTGGCTGCTCCTACTGCGGTGCCTGGGGCCACTTAGTGAGAGGTGTGGGGCTGGCTGAGGCCAGATGCTTTTTGTTTAAGAGAATTTAGGAAAACCTGAAACAGGAGTCAAGACAGGCCATTCTATGGTAAAGCGACTGAGAACAGCTCTGGTGGACCAGAAAGTTGGATGGGGAGGGGCCTCAGGGAATGACAAGGGTGGGGCAAACAGTGAGAGCCTAGTTGCTGGAGTCCCAGAGAGGGTGCTGGTCTGCTGTGGGGGAAGGGCTCACCAAAGGAACAAAGGTCTCTGCCAGCTGTTTGTCCAGGAGAAAGTTGCCTCTTCAGCCCTCCACTGGAGGCCAAACAACTCAGTTCTTCTCGATTTCAGGCGATTCTGAATGATGGTTATTCTGTAGTTTAGTTGTGATTTTGATGTGGTTGTCCTTAAATTTGATTTTATCAGCTCACCTTGAGATACCTTAAAGGCAAACCACTATGGAACAATTAATAATGAGACCCATCTGTACCACAGATGGGTGCCCCCCCCCCCCCCATGCTGTACTGTCTCCAGTCCCAACTTCTACACTTGCTTTGCCTTCTGCTTTCCCTCTCCCTCCCCCAGCTTACCCGCTTCTGTTTAGAAGCCCTTCTGGGAGCCTTCCAGGCCTTGCAGGCCTGAGCTAGTAGCACCGGTGGTTCCAGCACCTGCCCTGCCACCCAGCAGTGCCCCATCCCACAGACGCGGTGCACCTGGCCTGGGAGGGCTCATCCGTGAAGGGCCTGGCTGAGGGCAGGACGCTGCAGGTGCATCTGTCCGAACCTCTGGGAGGCCTGCGGCCTGCGCCTTTGCGCGTGGTCCTCCCGGCCCACCCTACGCGCTGCCCGCCGCCCCCACCTCGAGGCCAGCCGCGCGGGAAGGGCCGCCGCCATCTTGCCCGCAGGGGTCCCACGATGGGGCCGGGGCTCCTGGGCGCCGCGCTGTTGCTGGTGGGGGGCTCTCTCTTACCCTGGGCGCACTGCTCGCTCTCCCAAAGGGGCAGGGGCGGGCGCGGCCCCCCTCGGGAGCAGGCGGCTGGTGGCGGGAGGCCGGAGGCCGCGCGGCCCGGGCTCAGGCAGCGGAAGGGGCCGGGCGCCCAGGAGGACAGGTGGTATGCAGAGGGCAGTATCTGTTCGTTCTTCCTTCGCACCCAGTCCGCCCCTGCCTTTTCCCCACTTCATCGTGTTTGATGTGGGGCCCCTCCTTTCCGTGTTCCCGGTGCCTTTAACTAGAAATGGACAGACCTCAGCAGCCCAGTTATCACGATGATGGGGCTTGTCATTCCCATTTTACAGATTAATAATTCACTGGAATTCAGAGTTGAATTAGGGTTATAAGGTGACCTTTTTGTACTACAGTTGAGAAAAATTAACCCAACAAGTTAAATGGCAAGTATTAGAACTTGTAGCTCGTGAGTCACCTGTTCCAGGCTCTTGAATCACCATTTCACACAGGGAAAAACATGATATCTGGCCAGAGAAACCTCGTTTTTTTATACTTTTGGGCAACAGAGTTTTAAAAGTAATGAATTGTGTTGATTTGATGTCTTTCTATTTATAAGTAATCTATTAAGGTATGTTTACCTTCACTCTCTTTTCTCCTTCAAAATATGGGCATGCCTTAGGTGTCCAGCTTGCTTTATCAGTTGTTCAAATAGGAGTTTAAAATATTATATTAATGTGTTAAGATTAGGAAGTAATACATATTATTAGATATTCAGTCTAAGTAATATATCATTTTTATTTTTAGGTTGTGGAACAGCACCTCTTGTGGATGTGTTGAAAGGGTCTCGGATTATAGGGGGCACAGATGCTCAAATTGGCGCATGGCCATGGTTAGTTAGCCTGCAGATTCAATCTGGAAAAATTCTTGCTCATGTATGTGGGGGAAGCTTAGTGAAAAATAGTTGGGTCCTCACAGCTGCCCACTGCACTAAGGACACTAGGTATGTATTCACAACACAACTCCTTTTATATTCTCTTAGGGACTATTTTAAAGTCAAATGGTAGCCCTGGCCGATTTGGTTCAGCGGTTAGAGCGTGGGCCTGCGGACCAGAGTTCCAGGTTCAGTTCCCGCTAGGGGCACATACCAAAAAAAAAAAAAAAAAAGACAGGCAAGATTTCGCTTGTGGGCTGAAGTTTGTTGGACCTGGCTTTAAATAATGAAACTTTCCTTTAGATTTAAAAATTATTATATTATCATCATGTATTTGTCTTTCTCACCATTCAATCATGAGTTATTTGAAGGGAAAAACTACATGTTTTATTTTGTATTCCTGGTACTAATATAGGACTTGGCCTACTTTATAGGAGATAAAATAAATGTTTATTGAATCTGTGGATGATGTCAATCTTGGAGAAATAGGATTTACCATAGTGAGACTAGAACCATTTAATATAAAGCTCTACCCCTGGTCAGGTGGCTGGAGCATCATCCTACACCAAAGGTTGCAGGTTCGATTCCTGGTCAGGGCAGATACCTAGATTGTGGGTTGGATCCCCCTTGGGGGCACATACGGGAGACAACCAATTGATGTTTCTCTCTCTCTTCCCCTTCCTCTAAAATAAATAAAAACATATCCTTGGGTGGGATTTAAAATATATATATATATATATATATATATATATATATCCCTGGCCAGTGTGGCTAAGTGGTTATAGTGTTGGCCCATGCACCAAAGAGTCTCAGTCAAGGGCACAGATGTAACCTGAGTTGCAGGTTCAATCCCCAGCTCTGGGCTGGGGTCTTGTGGGAGGCAATCAATTGATGTATCTCTCTCACATTGATGATTCTCTTTCTCTCTCCCTCCCTCCCTTCTTTTCTCTCTCCCTTTCACTCTACCTAAAAATCAATGGAAAAAGATCCTCAGGTGAGGATTAACAACAAGAACAACAACTATATATATATAAAGCTCTAAGATAAATCCTTTTGGAAACCATGGTACCTGTCAGTCTCCCTTTAGTCTTTAATTTTTAAGAGAACAGCTGTCTTAGAAAGGAATGAAAAGTCTTTAAGAGGAACTAAAAACTTCAAAATTCAACTGAGGGCAACTGGCCAGATTGGGTAGGTTTTACTATGTATACCATATTTTTTTTAATTAATTTATTTTGTTACAGATGTTTCTCCTTTTTCTCCCAGATACCCCACTCCTGTATATCATATTTTTAAACATTGATTTCAGCTCTATCAATTGGCCTTTGAGGAATAGAGATTGGAAAAATGGGAAGATACTAAGGTATAAACCAAAGGTATAGAAAGAGATGCAGAAAAAGTTTCAGAGTTAGGAATCAATTCTGTTGTTCAGGTGTGTGTTTTACAACTGTTTTCTAACATGCTATTTTTTTCCCCCAAAGACAAAGGATAGGTTATTAATTGCTGCAAAAACAGAAGCCAGACTATCAACATTGTTGTATCAGTCCCCCAGTTCCCACAGGGCAACACAAGAGGGTCAAATAATACCTGCATGCACAGCGGGTCACATTACATGAGGAACACAGAACATAGGGAACCCAATCTATTATAATGGGCCTAAGCCTGCCTGACCTTTGCCCTTTTGGGAGACATTATCTTTATTTTACTGGACAGTAAACAAACCTGCCCAGAGGGACACACACTCTCTCTCTTCCAAGGCTGTTCATTATACAAACATCCTTGAAAAACCCAGACAAAGACCCCATTCTCGAGAACAGTGCCTCTGTTCACAAGATAATTAGGACATTAGAGACCCCTGGAAACTGCGTCCCAGCATACCTGTGGACTTCTATGAAAACCCAAGAATGAGTCAGAGCCAGAGGATGGCAGGAGTTTGGGGATCTTAACTCAAGCACTATGATTACTGGGATTCAGCCACACTCCACATATCTTTCTGTTCTGCTACCAGCTTTTTTGGTTTTAGTACAAAAGATGTAATTGGCCCAACTCATTTGTTCATCCCAACCTTAAGCCATATACTAGTGCTGATCAGTCTGCTTTGGCTTCTGGTCCAGTTCCACCAATACTCTAGACAACAGTGGTTGGGGGAGTTCATATGATCTTTTAAAAGTCTGTGTGAGTATTGATGGCTCCAGAGGGTTTATATCATGATCTCTTCCCCAGACAGGTTCTGACCTCGGGAGGTCTTCAGTGTTGAGACACAGGACAGAGAGGTGGTTCACGCAGGGGGTGGCGGGAGGGCACAGACAGCGCAAGATTTCATCCCACTACTCAGAATGGCTCATGGTTAGAAGTTACCAATTGTTATTTCTGGAATTTTTCATTTAATTTTTCTAAACTATGGTTTATTGCAGTTGATCATGGGCAACCGAAATGTCAGAAACCAAAACCTCGGATAAGGTGGGAATACTATAGTTTTTTGTGTTCAGACTTGCTCCCTCTATGCTCAGAGGGGAGGTAGTTTGAGGTGCCAGAGACATACAGGGAAGAACTGAGCTGTTTGGTGTCAGGACGAGGGCCGGAGAGGCAGCCTTCTCCTGGACAGACGTGCTGGCAGAGGCTGATGTTCCTCTGGTGAGCCCTCTCTGACATGCTATCTTTAAAAACTGCTTTTCTACAGCCTTCAAACCTTAAGCCACTTAGTGGTACAGTGGTTTTAAGTTAGGTTCTGAAACCTAGTAGATGTGTGACCTTGGTCAAATGATACAGTTTTGGTATACTGTCAAAGAATCTTAGAGTTCAAATAGTTATTTTAAATGTCTAGTTCAATCCTCTGCCCTGTATATGAATGAATCCTTCTTACAATATTGAAATAAAGGGTTCTCTAGTCTGAAATAATTATTGCTTCAATGTACTGAGCCAAGCATTTTTTCATACATAAGGTCCACTAATTTTTACAACCACTCTTTGCTGTAGGGAGACTCTGAGGCCTAAGCATATATAAGTAACTTGCTCATGGTTTCCATAGCAGGAAAGCAACAAAATCAGGGATTAAATCTAGGTGTGTCAGAATGAAAATCCACACACATAACCATAACTATATCATATGGATCTCTACCTGAAACAACCTCTGTGATGACGAACTGCTACTGTGGGAGACTCATTTCCATTTCTGACAGCTTTATTTTTATTTATTTATTTATCCTCACCCAAGGATATTTTTGCATTTGTCTTCCGATAGAGCAGGAAGGAGAGAGGGCGGTAGAGAGAGAGGGAGAAACATCATGTGAGAGAGACACATCAACTGGCTGCCACCCACACAACCCCAACCGGGGCCAGGGACAAACTGCAACCGAGGTACATGCCCTTAGCAGGAACCAAACCCGGGACTCCCTGGTCCGCGGGCCGATGCTCTAACCACTGAGCAATATCGGCCAGGGCAATTTCTGACAGCTTTAATTCTTAGAAAACTTTTCCTTATGTTGAACTAAGTGTCTGGTTTTCATTTTGCCTTCTGAAACCATATATATTAAACCTAATTCCCCTTCCAGGCTCGATCATTAAGATTGATTTACACGCCCTGGCCAGTTTGGCTCAGCGGTTAGAGCGTCGGCCTGCGGTCCTGAGAGACCCGGGTTCGGTTCCCACTAAGGGCGTGTACCTCGGTTGCAGTTTGTCCCCGGCCCTGGTCGGTTGTGCGGGTGGCGGCCACTCGATGTGTTCCTTTCACATCGATGTTTCTCTCTCTCTCTCTGTTCCTCTCTCTCCCTCCCACTCTACCTGAACAAAAAATGGAAAAATGTCCTCGGGTGAGGATTAAAAAAAAAAAAGATTGATTTACACAATGAACACTTATGAATTTAGGTTATACACTAGGGGTTGGACTAGGTTCTAACAAACTAGACATTACTGAGGCATAGATTTTACTTTCTAGGAGTTTCCTCCTGTCTCAGAGGACTAGCTCTGCCACCTTCTATTCCTGTTTCCTTCAATTCCTAAACCTTGTACCATCAATTATCCCTTATTTCTTCTTTTATATATAACTATATATAAATATATTTTTTTTCTTTATTGATTTTAGAGAGAGGGAGAGAAAGGAAGAGGGAGGGGGGAGAGAGAGAAAGAGAGAGAGAGAGAGAGAGAGAGAAAGAAAAAGAGAAACATCGATATGAGAGAGACACATCAAATGGTTGCATCCCGCATAACAGGACCAGGACCAGGGCCAGGGATGAACTGCAACCGAGGTATGTGCCCTTGACTGGTATGGAACCTGCAACTCTTTGGTCCACAGGCTGACACTCTAACTGCTGAGCCAAACCAGCCAGGGCCTTTTCCTTCTTATTACGACCACTTATCAAGGACCTGCTCTAAGATCAGGTACTGTCTAAGGATGTTACGTATAATTCTGTGTTTAAAAAGCCCCCTCCCACTAACCCTCTGAGATAGCTATTATTTTCTCCATTTTACATTTGAGGAATCCAGAGATCAGAGAGATTTGGCAACTTTCCCAAGATCACATTGCTGTTAAGTGGCAGTCCACTGATTTAAACCCAGGTCTCAGAAACTATACTGCTTCATTATATCTCATTGTCTCTTTAGGATTTTTCAGTCTCTTCCTCTTGTTTCTTCCGTATAGCCTTCAAACATGTTTTGGTCACTTCATTGTTATTTATAAACAAACAAACTCTACCTGTTTCTGTTCTTCCCTTCACCTTTAGACTCCTTGAATGAGAGATTCCCTTTTGCTTAATCTGCACTGACTCATAAAATCCCAATTGTAATCTTATTTCTGTGGCCAAAACACAGTATTGAAAATCCATCTCCATGCCAAATCCAATGACCTCTTCTCAGTTTCCATCCTATTTGATCTCTATAACATCTGACAAATATGACTGCTGCTCTCATAACTAGCTCTTTTCTTTTTTATTGATTTTTTTAAATTTTTTTTATTTTAGAGCGAGGAAGGGAGAGAGAGAGAGAAACATCTCTGTGTGAGAGAAACATGGATTGGCTGCCTCCCGCACTAGGGGATCAAGCCCACAATCCAGGCATGTGCCCTAGCCAGGAATCGAACTGGGACCTCTCAGTCCATGAGACAATGCTCAGTTCACTAAGCCACACCAACCGGGCACTATCTTTTTTCTTAATTTCTAAGATACTACTCTACCTTTTGTCCCCTTTTCTCCACTTCCTTGATGAGTCTTTGTTATCTTTTAAATGGCACTATTTTCTAGAGTTCCACCTTCTATCCTCTGGCGCTATGGTCTGTACTCTTTCCCAGACGTATCTCATCTCCTCCTGTTTCTGCCATCACCATGTACTGGCAACTCTCACGTCTCTCTAGCTCAGTCATATGTCCAGCCGCCCACTGTACATACACATTGGAATCACATTCTCAAGCCCAAAAATGAAAGAAAAAAAAGTTGTTTTTATTTTTTTATCTTTAAATTTATGGGGGTGACATTGGTTAATAAAATTATATAGGTTTCAAATGTATAGTTCTATGATACGCCATCTGTATATTGCATTTTGTGCCCACCACCCAGAGTCAGATATTCTTCTGTCACCATACGTTTGACCCCCTTGGTAACCACCATATTGTGGTCTGTGTCTATAGTTTTTGTTTGTTTTCTTGTTTGTTCATTAGTTGCCAAAAATGGATTTTTAAAAAGTTTCTTCTAATCCTATCCCTTCCCTGACTCTCAGGTAACAGCATTAACAACAGCTCCACTATCCAGAGAGTTAGCTCACTCTCTCTGTGTAGTAGCTCTTGCATTTGTTTCTTCTGTCCCCCAGCACTCCCTCTGAGAGGTAGACCCAGAATAGCAGTCTCCTTCTCTTTAGCTCCTCACTTGCACTACTTTCACTTTACTACAATGCCCTAATTGTCTCGTGGTTTTGTTTTGCATTTCTCTAATCACCAGTGATGTTAAACATCTTTCCATGTTTTTTTGTTTGTTTGTTTTTTTTATCCTCACCCGGGAATATTTTTCCATTTTTTGTACAGATAGAGCGGGAGGGAGAGAGAGTGAGAAACATCGACGTGAAGGGACACATCAAGTGGCTGCCACCCGCACGACCAACCAGGGCCGGGGACCAACTGCAACCGAAGTACGTGCCCTTAGCGGGAACCGAACCTGGGTCTCTCCGGACCGCAGGCCGACGCTCTAACCGCTGAGCCAAACTGGCCAGGGCCATCTTTCCATGTTTTTAGCGGCCATTTTATATTGTCTTTGGAGAAATGTCTTTTCAAGTCCTTTGCCCATTTTTTAATTGGGCTGTTTGGGGGGTCTTTTTTGGTTAGGTTGTAGGAGTGTTTTATATATTCTGGCTATTAATCCCTTATCAATTATGTGTTTTGCAGATATTTTCTCCTATTCTGTGGTTGTCTTTTCATTCTCTTGGTAGTGTCCTTTGATGCACAAAAGTTTTAATTTTTTATAAAATTGATGTATAATTGATATACAGTATTCTTTTAGTTTCAGGTATACATCATAGTGATTGGATATTTACATACGTTAAGAAATGATCCCGCCCGGCCGGTGTGGCTCAGTGGTTGAGCATGGATCCATGCACCAAGAGGTCGCCAGTTCAATTCCTGGTCAGGGCACATGCCCAGGTTGTGGGCCCAATCCCCAGTGGGGGGCATGCAGGAAGCGGCCAATTGATGATCTCTCTCATCGATATTTCTATCTCTTTCTCCCTCTCCCGTCCTCTCTCTATAAAATCAATAAAGAAAAATAAATTTGAAAAAAAAAAAATAGAAATGATCCCTATAAGTCTAAGTTACCATCTGTCACCAAAATTATTACAATATTATTGACTATATTCTTTATCTTGTACATTATATCCCCATAACTTTTTTATTTTATAACTAGAAGTTTGTACCTTTTAATTCCCTTCACCTATTTCACCTGCACCCCCAACCTCTCCCCACTTTGGTAACCACCAGTTTGTTTCCTGTATCTGTGAGTCTGTTTCTGTTTTATTTTGTTTGTTCATTTGTTTTGTTTACAAGTTTTTAATTTTGATGAAATCCAATTTATCTATTTTTTCTTTTGTTCTTGTGCTTTTGGTGTCATATCCAAGTAATCATTGCCAAATCCAACATCATGAAGGTTTTCTCCTAAGAGTTTTTATAATTTTACTTTTTGTTGTTGTTGTTAATTCTCACCTGAGGATATTTTTCCATTGATTTTTAGATACAGTGGAAGGAGGAGAGGGAGGAAGAGAGAGAGAGAGAAAGAGAGAGAGAGAGACAGAGAGAGAGAGAGAGAGAGATTGCTGTGAGAGAGACACATCCATTGGTTGCCTCCCCCCAAACCCCAACTGGGGCCAGGGATTGAACCTGCAACCCAGGTACGTGCCCTTGACTGTCTTTCTTTGGTGCATGGGCTGACACTCTCACCACTGAGCTACACCAGCCAGGGCTACAAACCTGTTTTTTAATCTTGTGGTCTGAATATAAATTGAAGTAAGTAATATAAATTAAGTTTGGAAAAGAAAAGAAACATCATTTAAAAGCAGCATAAAGTAAAAAAAAAAACAAAATAGAACTAGGATTTTAAATATTTTTTACAAACTTTTTAGAGTTTGCCTAGTTCACTTATTTTTTATTCCTCACCTGAGGATATTTTTCCATTTATCATTAAAAAGAGTGGGAGGGAGGGAGAGAGAGAGAGAGACAGAGAGAAACATCGATGTGATAAAGCCACATCAACTGGTTGTGTCCTGCACGACCCGACCGGGGCTGGGGACAAACTGCAACAGAGGTACGTGGCCTTGACCAGAATCCAACCCATGACTCATTGGTCCGGGGGCCGATGCTCTAACCACTGAGCAAAACTGGCCAGGGCTACCTAGTCCACTTTTAAGAGAGCTAAAATATCTCCTATTTCCTTGGGATAAATTCTAGAAATACAATTGCAGAGTCAAATACAATGCAAACTTTTATAGGCTATTGAAACATGCTACCACAGTATTCATCTATTTATACTTCCCATAATGAATAAGAGAATCTTTGTTTCTCTGACGCCTATCTGTACTGAGAATTATCATGAAATATGCACACTAACATGTACATATGTACGTACACACACACACACTCATACATGAACTTTGCCAGTTTGAACGGTGAAAAGGAATTTCAGCATTTGTAAACAATCATGTAAAAACTAAAAAGTCCTTCCTTCCCAATCCAATTACAGGTGTAACATCTATCAAATGCTTGGGTTTTAATCGTTGACTTGACCTACAGAGCATCTTTTTTTTTTTTTTTTTTTTTTTTTAAGACTGCCAAGATCCATTAGTTGCTTCTTGTTTTTATATTTAGTGGCATGCTTTATAAAGTCCATTCTCATGTCAATGTTATGTATTCACCTATATTTCTTTCTGATTTAATTTTTATAATTCTCACACTAATTTAATATCCAAATCTTTCATTCTAAAATTTCAAAACTTGACACAAATAGAGGGAATAGTTTAGTGAACCTTATACCGATCACCCAGCGTCAAGTTATCAACTCATGCCTCATCTTGTTTCCTCTTTATCCTCACCAACTCTCCCAATTATTTTTAAGCAAATCTGAGATATACCGCTTTATGTATCTCTAAAAGATAGAAAGTTCTATTTAAAATATTTGTGTGCTTGCCCTGGCCGGTTTGGCTCAGCGATTAGAGCTTGGGCCTGCGGTCTAGAGAGACTCGGGTTCGGTTCCCACTAAGGGCATGTACCTCGGTTGCAGTTTGTCCCCGGCCCTGGTTGGTTGTGCAGGTGGCAGCCACTCAATGTGTCCCTTTCACGTCGATGTTTCTCTCTCTCTTCCTCTCCCTCCCTCCCACTCTATCTGAACAAAAATGGAAAAATGTCCTCCGGTGAGGATAAAAAAATAAAAGATAAAATATTTGTGTGCTTAAATATTTAATCCATATCAAGTTTATTTTAGTGTTTTTCAGAGATTTATTTCACTTTTCAAACTAGTTAGTTACCTAGTTATCCCAATATCATTTACTAATTCATGCTCTGTCCACTAGTAAGAAGTGCTGCTGCCCTAGTCATATACATTTTCTGAATCTCTTTTTGGACTTTCTGTTCCATAGATCTTTTTCTCTTTTCCTACATCTTGATATTTAGGTTTTATTTTATGTGACTAGGTCACATAAAAGTAGGATAAAATTTTTTTATTATTAATTAACATGAGAAAAACAAAAACTAGTGGGATATTAAGAATATTTACTTAGCCCTGGCCAGTTTGGCTCAGGGGTCAGAACCTCGGCCTCCAGACCCAACAGTCACGGGTTTGACTCTTGATCAAGGGCACATAACTCCGTGGCAGGTTCAATCCCTGGCCCTGGTTGTGTCATGTAGGAGGCAACCAATCCATGTGTCTCTCTCTCACTGATGTTTCTCTCTCTCTCTCTTTCCCTCCCTCCCTCCCACTCTATCTAAAAATCAATGGAAAAATGTCCTTGGGTGAGGATTTGAAAAAAAAAAGAACATTTATTTAAATAAACATGTTTATATTAAGAACATTTACTTTCTTTCAGAAACCCGTTAATGTGGAGAGCTGTGCTTGGAACTAATAATATAGCTGGGAGACGTCCACACACCAAGATTATGAAAGTTAACGCAATCATCATCCATCCGCACTTCGATTTGGAAACTTATGTAAATGATATTGCACTTTTTCACTTAAAAAAAGCAGTGAGGTATAATAACTACATTCAGCCTATTTGTCTACCTTTTGATGTTTTCCAAGACCTGGATAAAGACACAAAGTGTTTTGTAGGTGGCTGGGGAAGAACATCAGAAGAAGGTAACTATAGTCTGAATTGTATTGATACACTTCTTTTCTGGTTATTGCAGAGGGTGAACCCTTTTATATATTTCTTTATCTCTTTGTATTATGAGTTTGAATAATAGGTCTTTACAAGTCAGTGAAAAGGAAATGTCTTTTTTTCTTGTCTGTATTTTTTTCTCCCCTGTGAGAGAGAGAAAATTATCTTCCAAAGCAGAAATAGAGAGGTTCCGGATTGATTCCCGGTCAGGGCCCATGCCCGGGTTTTGGGCTAGATCACCAGTGGGGGTCATGCAGGAGGCAGCCAATCGATGTTTTTCTCTCAAAAAAATCAATAAAAACATATATATAGAGAGAGAGAGTGAGAGAGAGAGAAGAGGAACAGGAGGAGGGCGGGAGAAGAAGGAGGAGGAACAAAGTACAGATTGGAAGTTACCAAAAAGTCATGGGGATGTATAGTCAATAATATAATAACTATGTATACTGCCTATTGGATACTGGAAATATCAGGGAGAGCACATTGTAAATTATATGATTGGCTAACCACTATCTTGCATAACTGAAACTAATATAAAATAATATTGAATGTAAACTGTAACTAAAATTTTTTTTAAAAACTAAAGGAACTGAATCAGTAATTAAATAATTAAAAACACCAGAACTCAGAACAAGTGAGTCCTACCATAATTACCAGAGACAATAAATAAATACTTTCAAAGAAACCAAAAAGAGGGAACACATCCCAACTGTGTATGAGGACAACAATCATCATACAATAATCATGACAATAATCATTATCATGTATAATGCCCAAGTCAGGTAAGCATAGTACAAGAAAAGCTGGTATCATGAATGCAGACATTCTTTTTTTTTTATCCTCACCTGAGGACATTTTTCCATTTTTTTGTTCAGATAGAGTGGGAGGGAGAGAGGGGAAGAGAGAGAGAGAAACATCGACACAAAAGGGACACACTGAGTGGCTGCCACCCGCAGGACCAACCAGGGCCAGGGACAAACTGAAACTGAGGTATGCGCCCCTAGCGGGAACCGAACCCAGGTCTCTCTGGACTGCAGGCCGATGCTCTAACCACTGAGCAAACTGGCCAGGGCTGAATGCAGACATTCTAAACAAATTACTAGCTTACTGAATCTATCAATGATATAATTCAACATAACCAAGATGAGTTTATCTAACGATTTCAAGAGTGGTTTAATATTAGAAGTCCCTTAATGTAGTTCACCATATTAACTGATTAAAGAATTTTTAAAAAACATGATTATCTCAATAGGTATAGAAGAAACACTGTTAAAAACTCATAACAATTTAGACATAGATTGGAACTTCCTTAATCTGATTAAGGTTATCTACTTCCAAACTGCAGCAAACATTATTATAGAAAAACATTTCCCTTAAAATCTGGAATGATTTCCACCATAGAACCACTTTTATTCTATATTGTAGTAGAGATTCTAGTAAGTGCAGTAACACTAGAAAAAGATGCAAAAGATAGGACTCAAAAAGGCAACTAAAAAAACATTAATCACAGATAATGGGACTATCCATTAACAAAGAATCTGTAATCCATTGAAATCAAGAGTCTAGTAAAGTGGCCAGATATAAAACCAATGTAACAATTTATTTCATTTCTACACACTATCAATGGTTAGAAATGTAATTTAAAAGTTAGCAAATGTCACACCCACAACGATGGCTATAATAAAAAATTTAGTCAGTAACAAGTGTTGAGAAGGATGTGAAGAAATTAGAACCCTCATACATTGTTAGTGGGAATATAAAATGATACGGCTGCTTTGCAATACAGTTTGGCAGTTCCTCAAAAATATAAACATACAGTTACCATATGACTCAGCAGTTTCACACCTAGGAATACCCAAGAGAAATGAAAACATATGTTCACACAAAATCCCATATTCAGCTATTCACAGCAACATTATTCATAATGGCAAAAAAATGAAAACATGCAAATGTCCATCAACTGATAAATAAACTGGGGTATGTTCATACAATGGAATATTATCCAGTCATAAAAAGAAATGAAGTACTGCCCAGCCAGTGTGGCTCAGTGGACTGAGTGTCTTCCCACAGACTGAGAGGCCTGGTTCAATTCCCGGTCAGGGCACAGGCCCGAGTGCGAGCTCGATCCCCAGTGGAAGGCGTGCAGGAGGCAGCTGATCAGTGTAGCTCTCTCACATCAATGTTTCTATCTCTCTCTCTAAAAAATCAATAAAAAAAAATATTTAAAAGAAATGAAGTAATACTGATACATGCTAAAATATTATGCTAAGTGAAATAAGCCAGACACAAAGCTCACATATAATTCCATTTATATGATAAAATGTCTAGATCAAATAAAAAAGTGGATAAGTGGTTGGAATTAAACTATAAACAATAAAATTAAACTACAAATCATTAACAAAGATAGCTGGAAAATCCAAAAATACAAAGAGATTAAATGTGAATTGAATAATAGTATTGTACCAGTGTTAAATTTCCTGATCTAAGTACCATGGTTAATAAGACAATGACCTTTTTCTCCTTTTTTTTTTATATTTTTTTTTTATCCTCACCCGAGGATATTTTTCCATTTTTTTGTACAGATAGAGAGGGAGGGAGAGAGAGGAAGAGAGAGAGAGAGAGAAACTTCGACGTGAAGGGACACATCGAGTGGCTGCCACCCGCACGACCAACCAGGGCCGGGATCAAACTGCAACCGAAGTACGTGCCCTTAGCGGGAACCAAACCCGGGTCTCTCCGGACCACAGGCCGATGCTCTAACCGCTGAGCCAAACTGGCCAGGGCCAATGACCTTTTTCTTAACAAATGCGTACTAAAGTATTTAAAAATATAGGAAAACAATGTCTGCCATTCAGTCTCAAATGATTCAGAAAAAAATTATAAACACAGAGTACAAATAATAATGCAAATGTGACAAAAAGCAAACTGGTGAGTCTTAGTAAAGGCATTTGATGGTTCTTTATATTATTCTTGCTACTTTTCTTTAATTTTAAAATCATATCTAAATAAAAAGTTGCAAAAACAACTACAAATTAAAGAAACTAAGAGATGGGCACATGACTGTCCACTGAGAAATTCTTTTATCTTTGCTTTATGTTTACAATTTTTTCATAATAAAATGTTGGGAAAGTTAACAGACATTAACATTTACAATAACACCAGAATGATTAGTTAGCTAAAAACAAATCTAACAAAAGATTGCAGTACTTCCATGAAAAAAAATTCTAAAACATTTTTAAAAGACATTAAAAAATACCTAAGTAAATGGAATGTTATAGTTTATGTTTAAATAGGAAGACGGAATGAGTATCATAAAGATGTCAATTCTGCCTTCTCATGTTGATGTTTCTCTATCTCTCCCTCCATCCCTCCCGCTCTATCTGAAGATAAATGAAAAAATATCCTTGGGTGAGGATTATAAAAAATAAAAAATAAATAAACAAATAAATAAATATTGTACCAATACCGCACTCGTATTGTTCAGGTTCATAAATTGGGTGGTAGGTTCCCAGGTGTTCATTTCATTATTACATTTTATAACTTATATTCTTTTATATGCAGCCAGTATTACTGAAAATTAATTATTTTTAAATAAATGGCAGAAACGTGGTTGGCCTCTAAGAAGCTTTGATCCAGGAATCTAAATGCATTAGGATATATTTTATTTCTATTTCCTATTCCTTTTCTCTCTGTATGTTGACTTTAGTTTCTCAGGCTGCCTGTCCTCAAAAGGCTGGAACTATGGCCTCAGGCTGTTTTGGATTTGTAGCTAAACAGCCATGTGACTAGGGTGAAAAATTCTTCTCTGACAGCCTTGATTTAAAAAAAAAAAATTGCTGGAGCCCTGGTCGATTTGACTCAGCAGTTAGAGCGTAGGCCCATGGATCCAAGGGTCAAATGTTCCATTCCGGTCAAAGGCACCTGCCTGGGTTGCAGGTTGGATCCCTGCCCGAATCAGTCATGGGAGGATTTCTCTCTCTCTCTCTCCCTCCCCAACTCCCTCCCTCCCTCTCTAAAAACCAATAGAAAAATATCCTTGGGTGAGGATTAACAAAAACAACAACAAAATGCTAGAGATTACAATTGGTTACACTTATACCAAATAGTGTCAAGTGTAGACTAATCTGTATCACCAGGAGAATGGAATTCTGTGAATAGAACAGTTGAGTCATCTGCCTACCTTCAGTCAAGGGGACAATGTGTATTACTAGAAAAGCTGGAGAAGTATTCAGGGCACACAAAACATTCAGCTATAGCATGTGACAACTGCAACTTGGAAACAGGCTGACAGGAGCAAATGTTACTATGGATAAATCTTACCAAAATCTGTCCTTTTTTTTTTTTTTAATCCTCACCCGAGGACATTTTTTAATATTTTGTTAAGATAGAGTGGGAGGGAGAGAGAGAGAGAGAAACAACGACGTGAAAGGGACACATCGAGTGGTTGCCACCCACACGACCAACTAGGGCCAGGGACAAACTGCAACCGAGGTACCTGCCCTTAGCGGGAACTGAACCCGGGTCTCTTCAGACCACAGGCCAACGCTCTAACCGCTGAGCAAAACCGGCCAGGGCCCAAAATCTGTCCTTTAATGGTTCCTGAATGTATTATCCTATCTTCTGTGTGTGTAGCAAAGGACCACTTTATGTTCAGGAATTAGCAGAGAAGTTAGGGGAGTACATAAATTAAAATCTGTTTTATTTTCCTGTGCACCATCCTTCTAGACTTAGCATCATTATAAAATTAAATAAAATTATTCACAGTTTATAACATATGAAAGATTGACCTCAGGCTTTACCTCTTTAGTCCTTGGCAATAGCTTTATTTTGTGAAATTGATAGATCCTATTGTGAGACCTTCAAGTGTACATGAGAGCAAAGACAGCAAAAATAACTTGAGAGTCCTACTATCTAGAGATAACTGTCATTAACATTTTGGTGAATGTTCTTCCACAATCTTCCTAGGCATACATCCATACATATATTGATACAATTTTACATAATTGTTGAATCAGTCACTTTGGAAAGAAAACCTATTCAACATGAACATTTTATATCACTGTCAAAATGCCTGCTCTCCAAAATAATTTATTGGTATTATTTTTTGTTAATAGGTAATGCCACAAATATGTTACAGGAAGCGCAAGTGCATTATATTTCTCGAAACATTTGTAATTCTGATAAGAGTTATGGGAATATAATTCCTATAACTTCGTTTTGTGCAGGTGATGAAGAAGGAGTTTTTGACACTTGCAGGGTAAGATTAAATAATTTTCTTTTGAAGTATTTTCTAAAGCCACAGGGGACTTGAACAAGGCCTTTGATCACTTTTTGGTGAAGTCTTTTTTCTTTTTTTTAATTTTTAAAAATTAATTTGAGCCTGGCTGGTGTGGCTCAGTGTTTGGGCGTCGACCCATGCACCAAGAAGAGGTTGCCGGTTTGATTCATTGTCAGGGGACATGCCCAGGTTGTAGAACAAATCCCCAGTGAGGGTCATGCAGGAGGTGGACAACTGATGTTCTCTCTCATCTATGTTTCTGTCTCTCTCCTTTCCTCTCTAAAATCAATAAAGAAAAAAAAATTTTTTTAATTAATTTGAGAGACAGAGACACTGATTTGTTACTCCTCTTATTTATGTATTCATTGGTTGATTCTTGTATGTGCACTGATTGGGAATTGAATCTGCCACCTTGGTGCATAGGGATGATGCTTTAACCAACTGAGCTACCCAGTCAGAGCTGGTGACACCTTAATTATCAGGTCTAAAAATATTAAATTTTTTTTCTCATTTTTAACTACACCAACAATCCAAATTCTCTTGCTTTCCTGATTTGCACTGCATCTTTCTTCTTTTTTTTCCATTACTACCATTATTGAGATATGTTTTACATATACACAATTCACCAATTTAAAGTGTACAACTCAATGGGTTTTTAATACATTTACAGAGTAGTGCAATCATCACCATAATCTAATTTTAGAACATTTGTCACCCCAAAAAGAAACCTCTATTCATTATGAGTCACTCCCCATTCTCCTTCCACCCATCCCCCAGCCTATTGTGGAAATTTTATACGAATGGTATCATTCAATATGTGGTCTTTTGTGACTGACTTCTTTCACTTAGCATGTTTTCAAGGCTCATCCACATTGTGACATATATTAATACTTTATTCGTTTTACTACCAAATAATGTACCATTGTATGAAGAGATCACATTTTATTTATCTATTTATTAGCTGATAGACATTTGAGCTATTTCTACTTTTTTGGTATTATAAATAACATTGCTATAAATGTTTCTGTATATGTTTTTATGTGTAGGTATGTTTTTATTTCTCTCAGAAATTTCCTAGGGGTGGAATTGCTGAGTCAATGTTTAACATTTTAAAGAACTGCCAAATTGTATTCCAAAGTGGCTGCACCATTTTACATTCTCACCAGTAATGCATGAGGGTTCCAATTTCTCCACATCCTTGTCAGCACTTATTGTCTGCCTTTTTTATGACAGCCATCTTTATGTGAAGTGGTATCTTGTGGTTAAATTCGCATTGCCCTAATGACTAACAATGTTGAGCATCTTTGGATATTCTTATTAGCCATTTGTGTATCTTTGGAGAACTGTCTATTCAGAACCTTCACCCATTTTTAAATTGAGTTATTTACCTTTTTATTATTGAGTCATAAGCATTCTTTATATATTATGGATACAATTTTCTCCCATTCTATGGACTGTCTTTTCACTTCCCTGATGTTATCATTTGTAGCACAAAAGTTTTTGAATTTTTATGAAGTCCAATTTATCTATTTTTTTACTTTCTTTATTCCTTTTTTCTTCACTACTTCTAAATCCATCAGCACTTCACTACTAAGCAGTACCCCATGCTTTGATATTTTCCTACTCATTCTGATTTCTAGAAATCCAGGGTTGATCTTTCCTGTGTCCTTTTCCTTTAAAATCTTGCTGAGTAAACTAGTAAAGAATCCAATCTAATTGAATTGCATTCATAAGTGAAACTTTCTCATTGTCGAAAAATAATTATCTAATGCCTACCATATATAGAGAATTTGAAAACATTTTAGAAACAGTCTTGAACTTTTAGGCACTGTAACAAAGACAACAACAGTCCTTGTTATCTTGAGTAATAAACATCCTTAGTAATAGTGTTTTCAGTTGTTACATTGACAGTCTTGTATAAACTACTAGGGAGATTTGTTATTTATAATACTACAGAGAGGATTAACCATTTATTCCTAATATCTTCCACCTTACAGGAGTAGGGGATCTTTTTCTGTCAAGGTCCATTTGGAAATTTATAACATTATTCATGGGCCATATAAAATTATCAACTTAAAAATTAGCCTGCTAGCCCTGGCTGCTTGCTCAGTGGTTAGAGCGTCCACCCACGGACCAAAGGGTCTGGGTTTGATTCATGGTCAAGGGCATATATTTGAGTTGCAGGTTAGATCCCCTGCCCCGGTCAGGGTCATGCAATCGTGCAGAAGGCAACCAATCTATGTGTCTCTCTCACATGGATGTTTCTTTTTCTCTCTCTCCCTCCTTCCCTGCTATATTTAGTCAGGTTAATTTGGTGAGGCATGTAAAGTTAGCTGGTATTGATTTTGCAGCCTTTATACGGCCCACGCTGGATGTTCCCCACCCCTGAAAGATGCCATTTCTTGTAAGATTTATTTTTCTCCTCACCGCTAGGTAGCACATCACACACATACCTAAAAGATTCCTTCATATATCTTAAAATTATACCTTTCACAAGCAGTATTAAGCAATAAAAGTATTTTAGTAATGTTTAACAATATTTTGCATATATCCTGTTATATTTCTTCTGAGTAATTATACTAAAAATATCCAAACAATTTGATTTATTGTATTCTGGTTCAAAACTATGCAATGGTAAATTTATCCATCAGCTATATGGTTCCTCCAAATATCAGGCCAGACTGAACATAACTGAATTCCTGTTTGAGATGGAATATAAAACCAAAAATCTATTGATCTTAATTATTCAGAGGTATACTGAAAATGTATATTTATATAAATGTATGTCTAAAGTGATTAGTTTACTCCCACTTTACTGTTATATAAAAACTACTAGAAGTAACTAACACTATTTTGGGACTTTTTTAATAGGGTGATAGTGGTGGACCATTAATGTGCTTCTTCCCAGAACACAAACAATTTTTTGTAATGGGAATTACCAGTTACGGATATGGCTGCGGTCGAAAAAACTTTCCTGGTGTCTATTGTGCGCCATTCTTCTACAAAACGTGGCTGACAGATCACCTCAACCAGATAAAGAATAAAGGCATATTTAATATAAATATTCTACTTGGACAGGTCCTTGTCGCCTTAGGTTCTGTTGTCTTCCTAGCAACTCCATAAAAATATTCTGAAGAATCTTTATTTTTCATCATGTCCCTTTCCATGTTCTACATAATGAAAATAATTTATTCTTTGGGCAAGTTATTTCCCACTTTTGAGTTCTTATGTGGACATTTTGGGGGGAATAAAAAGACTATGACATTTTAGATATGTGATTGTAAATTTGGCACTGAATCACACGCATCCTTGATGTATCTTGACTGTTTTACTTTATAATCATAATTTTTCATTTGGAATCCTTTCCTAGAGTTTGTATAAAATATTCAGTTTAAATATGCCAAATAATAAAGAGTTTATAAATAAAATGGAAGTTGTTCTTATGTTAAATTAATCAAAATGCTTTCCTTTTAAAGTTAGAATTTAGTAGCATTTTCTCAATCTGTTGAGATTTTGCTTCCTGACAATTGTCAGTTTGGCTCAAATAAACTCATAAAAAGAAAATAAAGTTAGATTTTATTTTATTTAAAAACATTTGTTTGTATTACATATATATATATATAATTTTTTTTTTTCAATTCTCATCTGGTTCTCAAAAAATATTTGGAGCCCTGGCCGGTTTGGCTCAGCGGTTAGAGCATTGGCCTGCAGTCTGGAGAGACCTGGGTTCGGTGCCCACTAAGGGCACATACCTTGGTTGCAGTTTGTCTCCGGCCCTGATTGGGTCATGTGGGTGGCAACCACTCGATGTGTCCCTTTCATGTCGATGTTTCTCTCTCCCTCCCACTCTATCTGAACAAAATATTGAAAAAAAATGTCCTCGGGTGAAGATAAAATATATATATATATTTTGATAAATAAGTATTTGCCTATTATATTAAATTATAATTAAAACTACTTTTAGTATTAATACTTCCTTCTCTATGCCAATAGAGAACTGTGGTGCAGATACCCCCAAACAATTTTATTTATAAATGTATAATATGACTTTTGTAACATTATAACCTACTGTCTGAAGCTTATTTTCTTGAAGCCTATGATAAAAGTTTGTATTCCTTGGACCTTCTGAATTAACTATAAAAAGAGGTGACTGAAAAGCATTCTGGGTAAAAGAGGGAAGCCAATCTGGGATCAGCTTTATTAAGACTGATCTATAAAATGCATTTCCAGCCCTGGCTGGTGTGGTGAGCATTGGCCTGTGGACCAAAGGGTCGTGGTTTTGATTCCCAGTCAAGGGTATGTACCTGGGTTGCAGGTTTGATTCCCCAGCCTCAGTTGGGTCCTCCAGGAGACAACCAATCAATGTGTCTCTTTCACATAGATGTTTCTCTCTCTCTCTCTCTCTCCCCCTCCCTCCCTCTTTTCCCTCTCCCTTCCACACAATCTAAAAATCAATGGAAAAATATCCTCAGGTGAGGAGTAACAACAACAACAACAAAAAGAATTTTCAAAACAAAAGAAAAAGTTCACTGAATTAGTACCTACTATGAATCAACTGACATCTCCCTTGACTTCTGGAGAAACGATGTAGTAAAGGAGAAATAATTATTTTCTCTTTTTACATTTAACCAGCTAAAACCAAGTGTTTTTGGTTGTTGTTGCTTTGTTTTGTTTTGCTTTGCTTTAAACTGATTTCAGGATTTAATTGAAAATAAGCATGAGTTTTCCATCCACTAATTCCTTTGAGGATCATCACTGGCTTAATGCAAAGGGTAGAAGACTGATTTTTTTATAGACTTGTGAGCAATACTGTTGTTTCTTGAAAGAGACCCTAGATTATCCATTGATAAGTCTTATAAGGAATTAGTTGGTAATGCTTGTATAGCAATCAGCATGATACATTGATCTTTTCCTATTTATATCTGAGTATTATTCAGATTCACTGGATAGCTCTGAATATTAATACAGATGAGCTTCAACTTCCAATGGGGTTACCTACCGATAAACCCACTTAAGTCGAGCAGCATCTGTAATGGCCTTCCTCTTGTTCTTCTCACCAGAAGCAGGAAAATCAGATGGGCATTTTGTAGACCTGATGGAATTCGTAGACACAACACACAATATTTAAAAAAAAAAAAAAATGCTGCAATACAATACACTGTAGAGTGTCGACTTTTACCCTCCTGATCAGGTGGCTGACTGGGAGCTGCAGCTGCCCAGCATCACAAGAGAGTATCATATTGCATATCACTAGCCTGGAAAGGATCAAAATCCAAAGTACAGTTTCTTTTTTTTATTATTTTATTATTTTTTTTTGTTACACGTTTCTCCTTTTTTACCCCATTGACACCCTTCTCCCCATCCCCCCCACCCCGTCCCTGGCTTTGTTGTCCATGTCCATTGGTTATGTGTACATGCATATAAGTTCTGTGGTTTATCTCTTCCCTCTCCCCACCACCCCCTCTTCTGAGGGTTGTCAATCTGTACCCTACTTCCACGTCTCTGGGTCTACCCTATTCCTCAGACTGTTATGATCATTATATTCCACAAATAAGTGAGATCATGTGGTATTTGTCTTTTTCTGCTTGGCTTGTTTCACTTAGGATAATATTTTCCAGGTCCCTCCATGTTTCTCAAAGGATAAGAGATCTTTCTTTCTTACAGCTGCATAGTACTCCATTTTGTTTATGTACCACAGCTTTTTTTATCCATTTGTCTACTGATGGACGAGTCAAGAGCACTTTAAATTGTGCACTAGTACTACAGGTTTCACCTCTAGTCTCAGTCTGGGCACATGCAGGAGGCAACCAATGGATGAGTCTCTCTCACACTTATGTTTCTGTTTCTCTCTTGCGCTCCCTCCTTCCCTTCCACTCTCTCTAAAAATCAATGGAAAAAATAAACTCCAGTGAGGATTAGCAACAACAATAAAAAACAGATGGATGTTTGAAACTATTTTCTGAATGCTTGAGGTTCCCAAACATGAATATTCTGGGGAATTCTTTTCATCTAAATTAGCTGAATAACATAGTGGTGCACAATTCATGTTGAAACTTGCCCTTTAAAAGACAGGCAGCCTAGCTCTACCAGGTTTGGCTCAGCAGCTAGAGCATGGGGGTGGGGGCCCACTGCCGGTTGGGGTCACGTGGGTGGCAACCAGTCCAGGTGAGAGACACACATTGATGTTTCCTCTCTTCCTGCCCCCCTCTCCCTCCCGCTCTGTCTGAAGGTAAATGCAAGAACGTCCTCCAGTGAGGATTAAAAAAAAAAAGATGGGCAGCCTAAAAGAGTGACTTAAAAATAATAATTGAGTTAGGAACATCTGAGAGTTTCAGTTCAAAACGCAAAAGGGAAAATTCTTGTTAACTGGGGCCAGTAGGCATGTCCTTTCGATTTCGTTTTTAAAAAACAAAGGGGGGGATTAGGAAGAGGGGATGTAATAAAAGCCTCTTGGCTGCCGACTTCCTTTAGTTTAACCAGGCTCCACCCACGAGTTCGGTTTTCTTTGTGGAGATCATTGGAAGACCTGGACAGGGAGTCAGTGCATTCCCCTTCTCCAAAGAGAAGGGGAAGGAGGAACAGATTTGGAATGAGGGACTGGAATCACCTTTCCTTCTAAAGAAAAGCTGGGAACTTTCTCATTTGCTTCACGAGTCAACTTTTGCCAAATGTTTATTAATTGGGTGAAATGGGCGTTTTGCCCAGCATCTGACCTAGCTCCAGCTTTCTCTTGTAGCACAGCCTGTTCTCTCCTCTGAAGCTGACTGGCTCCGGAGTGTGGCCGCTCAACTCCTGCTATTAAAGGAGTCAGCTCCCTAAATCGTGTTTTTTCTCTTCGGAGCCATGGCTCTTACCATCTCTATCCTCCAGCTGGCCGTCTGCGCCCTGGCATTTCCTATATACCTGCTGAACTTTCTGGGCTTGTGGAACTGGATATGCAAAAAATGTTTTCCCTACTTCTTGATAAGACTCACTGCAATGTACAACACACAGATGGCGAGCAAGAAGCGGGAGCTCTTCAGCAACCTGCAGGAGTTCGCAGGCCCCTCCGGGAAGCTCTCCCTGCTGGAGGTGGGCTGTGGCACCGGGGCCAACTTCAAGTTCTATCCGCCTGGATGCAGGGTGACCTGTGTTGACCCCAATCCCAACTTTGAGAAATTCTTGATCAAGAGCATTGCCGAGAACCGACACTTGCAGTTCGAGCGCTTCGTGGTGGCTGCCGGGGAGAACATGCACCAGGTAGCGGATGGCTCCATGGATGTGGTGGTTCTCACCCTGGTGCTGTGTTCGGTGAAGAACCAGGAGCAGATCCTCCAGGAAGTGTGCAGAGTGCTGAGGCCGGTGAGTAACGGGGATGAGGAGGACTGGTTAGTAGCAACCACTGTTACCTAGGGCAGTCCTATCAATTTCAGCTGAATCAAACATTCTAACTCAAAAAGTAAAACTACTAGAGAAGACACTGATGATTTTTTTTTTTAAATCTTAGAGTGGGATAGAAGCTATAAAGGGAAAGACTGATAAATATGAACACATAAAAATTTTAAACTGCAGGAAAAAAGTACTATAAACAAAGTTAAAATACAAGAACAAACTTAGAATAAGTATTTGCCAGGGATTATAAACAAAGGGTTAAGTTCCTTCATATTAAAATACATTACAAGTCAAAGGTCAGTAGGATTTTAAAAAATACGTTTTTATTGATTTCAGAGGGAGAGAGAGGTAGAGACATTGATGAGAGAGAAACATGGATCACCTACCTCCTGCATGCCCCCTACTGGGGATGAGCCCAAAACCCAGGCATGTGCCCTGACCAGGAATGGAACTGGCAACCTCCTCTAGTGCATGGGCCAGCGGCTCAATCAACTGAGCCACACTGGCCTGGCAGAAGGATTTTTTAAATCAATAAGAAAAACACACGGAAAAAGTAGACAAAGGACAGGGACAGAAATATAAATAAAAATAGCCAATTATATGATAAAAATGCTTAGCTTTATAATTAAAGCAAGATACCCTTTTTACCTATTACAGTTAGAGACTTTTAAGTAAATATGGTGTTGGAGTGGGTGTGAGAGACTGGACACCCCCATACACAAGGGAGGAAGTGCTTTCCTTGGAGGGCAATTTGATAATATCAAAATATTTTACTTTATTTACTTTTTAATGTGTTTTTATTGATTATTCAGAGAGGAAGGGAGAGACAGAAACATCAGTGAGAGAGATGTTTGCCTCCTATGCGCCCCTTACTGGGGATAGAGCCTACAACCTCGGCATGTGCCCTGACCAGGAATTGAGCCAGGATGTCTCAGTCCATGGGACATCAATCCACTAAGCCACCAATGGAGTTACTTTTTTAAATTAAATTTATTGTAGTAACATTGGTTAATAAAATTATATGGGTTTCAAGTGTACAACTCTATATACATCATGTATGTTGCATTGTATGTTCACCACCCAAAGTCAAATCTTCCATCACCATACATTTGACCCCCTTTACCCTTTAGTACCCCTCCGCCCCCTTCCTCTCTGGAAACCACCATAATGTTGTCTGTGTCTATGAGTTTTTGTTTGTTTTGTCTCTTCATTTGTTGTTTTCAGTTTTATATTTCATATATGAGTGAAATCAATGGTCCTTGACTTTTTCTGTCTGATTTATTTCACTTAGCATGATATTCTCATGATCCATTCATGTTGTTACAAATGACAGTATTTCATCTTTCCTGATGGCTGAGTAGTATTCCATTGTACATATACATAGGTACCACATCTTCTTTATCCAATCATCTATCAAAGGACACTTTAGTTGTTTCCATGTCTTGGTCACTGTGAATAATGCTGCAGTGAACATAGGAGTACATATATCTTTATGAATAAATGTTTTCAAGTTTTTCAGGTAGACACCCAAAAGAGGGGTTGCTGGGTCACATGGTAACTCTATTCTTAATTTTTTGAGGATTCTCCATACTGCTTTCCATAGTGTCTATACCAGTTTACATTCCCGACAGCAGTAAATGAGAGTTCCTTTTTCTCCATAACCTCTCCAACATAGAAGAAAACATAAGCACTAAACTTAAAGACCTTGGTCTTAGAGAGGATTTTATGAATTTGACCTCAAGGGCAAGGGAAGCAAAAGCAAAAGCATCAAAATTTAAGGTGCACATACTCTTTTACCCAGTATGAATTTATCTTATAGCTATACTACACAAATGTGCAAAAACTCATCCATATGCAAAGATATTCATTACAGTTTTGTAATAGCTGAAATTGGAAGTAACCTAAAAGTCCATCAATAGGAGGCTGTTCAAGTAAATTGTCACATAGTATAAAGGAATTCTGTACAGCTGTTAAAAGTAACAAGGAAGAGTTATCTATGTTGATATGAAAAAATCCCTGAGATAATATTAAATGAAAAAAAATCAAAGTGTAAATTATGATGTAGAGTATAAGCCTATTTGTGGGAGAGGGGAAAGAATATATCTAACTATGTATATATGATGATAAAAATGACAGACAAGAAACTATTAGCAGTAGTACCTCTTGGGAATGGGACTGAAGTGGGGAAGAATTACTTTTCATATTACACCTTTGTGCATAGTTTGAAATTCTTAGTACCTTTATGTAATTTCCACATATTACCTTTATTATTTGTATATGTTTTTATTGATTTTAGAGAGAGAAGGGAGATGGAGAGAGAGAGAGAGAGAAACATGGAGCAGCTGCCTCTGGCACGCCCCCTACCAGGGATCCAGCCCACAATCCAGGCACGTGCCCTTGACCAGGAATCGAACCAGTGACCTCTCAGTGCGTGGGAGGACATCAACCAACTGAGCCACACCGGCCAGGGTACCTTTATAATTTTTTTAAAAACTAGTTTAAAAAAATTAAACTACTCTGTCCTGGTTGGTTTGGCTAAGCAGTTAGAGCACTGGCCCTAGGACCAAAGGGTTGCAAGTTTGCAAGTTTGATTCCTGGTCAAAGGCATGTACCTGGGTTGCAGGTTCCATCCTGGCTGCAGTCGGGGTGGTGTGCGGGACAACCCATCAATGTGTCTTTCTCACATAAATGTTTCTCTTCCCTCCCAACTATATTTTAAAAATCAATAGAAAAATATCCTCTGGTGAGGATTAACACAACAACAAAAATGTTTTGCTCTAAATATAGTGAACATAAATAAAGTATGGCTATCTTAACATTTGAATTTGCTTTTCTAGGAGAAAAGGGTGTTCTGTAATCCCCAGTTTTATTTTCTAATACAGGAAGTTCCTTAGGAAGAACAAGACTTGAGATAGTGTTTGAGGCAACATATAATTTTGTTTTTGGCTCAAGGATAGCTGACATTAAAGTAATAAATGAAAAAGATCTGATTCTTATGCCCAAATGCTGGGTTCTTGTGTCCTAAGCCTGGGCACTAACTAGGCATGGTTAATAGATATTTTGCTCAGAGTATTACTAATCGCACAGCAGCCCTGCAAAGCAAGTAATTAACATCTCCGTTTTATATACTGATAATACTCTTAAGGGGATCATATTCTTGGTAGACCTCCTTAGCACCTGTGAAGCACCACTCTCTGTTGAATATAACCAAGAGCTTTATTACATTCCCATTTAATCCTCACAACAGTCCTCATATTGAGTTGAGGAAACGGACTCAGAGAGGTTAAAAAACTTACCCAGCCCTGGCCAGTTTGGCTCAGCGGTTAGAGCGTCGGCCTGCGGTCCTGAGAGACCCAGGTTCGGTTCCCGCTAAGGGCACGTACCTCGGTTGCAGTTTGTCCCCCGCCCTGGTCGGTTGTGCGGGTGGCAACCACTCGATGTGTCCCTTCACATCGATGTTTCTCTCTCTCTCTGTTCCTCTCTCTCCCTCCCACTCTACCTGAACAAAAAATGGAAAAATGTCCTTGGGTGAGGATTAAAAAAAAAAAAAAAAACTTACCCAAAGTTACACAGCTAGTATGTCTGACTTTCTTCAATGCAAATATTTTTTTTCTTTCTTTATTTTTAGAGAGAGGGGGAGAGAGATAGAAACATTGATGAGAGAACATCAACTGGCCCCCTCCAGCATGCCCCCCACTGGGGATTGGGCCCACAACCTGGGCATGTGCCCTGACCGGGAATCAAACCGGTGACCCCTTAGTGCTCAATCACTGGGCCACACTGGCCAGGCCAATGCAAATATTCTTACACCACACTGCTTGTCACTGGGCTTTTCATCTCTCTGATGTCAACATTCTACTACTTTTGCTGACTGTTCTTCCTCCACCCATCCCTAAATATTGGAGTTTCTTTTTGGTTCTCATTTCACTTATATAACCCACTGAGGAATCTTACCCCCAAAGGTTTCAATTACCACACATCCATAGATGGTTTCCAAATCAAAACATCTATCCCAGATCTCTCTTCTAAACCCTAAACTTGTATATTCAGCTGTCTACTTGGCAGTTGCCTGTGTTATGCAGAGGGCAATATGGACCTCCCCAGACCTGGGTCTCCTCTCTCTCCTGTCCAATTCAATGGCATTTTTTTAAAATCAGGAAATCTCAAGTTTACCTTTATGAACACAGATCTTAGACTTACCCAGAGATGTTGGGGCAACTCCATCTCTCAACTCCTTGCCTGGGGTAGCCAAGACCAGGGTAGCTAAAGGAGGCTAAGAAGAGTGGGGCAGTCACCATGGGTTTTGGAGGTGACTGTTGGGTCCCTTTCCCCCTACTCACCTCAGAGATCGGTAGAACACTTCTGCAGACCTCCTAATAATGTGTAGTCTCTATTGTTTCTATACTTGACCTATATTTATAGGACTGTCCTAGATGAAAGCAGCACTTGCAAATTCCTACATAACAGTGCTTTAACAGAGTATCCACTGGTTGAATAAAACACCTACTGACAAAATGTTACCATGAATTCAGTAATGCTCTTAGATGATTCAGTATTTTAATTAATTATGCTTACATCCTTGTGACAGTGGTACAAAAGTATAAGACACGGTTAGTCTCAGGCAGTGCTTGGTGTGGATGCAGACTCGCCCACAGGTTTGCAAAGCAGAGACTGAGAACAATTTTCACATGAATTAAAAGATTAAAAAAAAAATAAAAGTAGAAGTTTTTAAAAAGAAATTAAAAGGCAAATAACAAACTGGGAAAACATTTGTAGTATAGCTTTATTATACTAAAAGTACTTACTTATTAATTAGTAAGAAAAATAACCAATACCCTAGTAGAAAACTGATAAAGGACACCAACAGACAAATTAGAAAAGAAAAAAATCCAAATAACCAGTAGGGTTTTGTAAAACCATTAAAGAATATTAAAGACATAGTATTGAAAATGAAATACCATTTTGCCCATCAAATTAACAAAGATATGGTGGCGGGGGTGAGTATTGATGAGTTTATTGGAAATAGGCACTCATCCATTGCTAGTACGAATGTAAATTTGCTACAACTTTTCCAGAGGGCAATATGACATCCTTTACTAACAGCTTTAAAAAGGCACAGACTTTCCCTGGCTGGTGTGGCTTGGTTGGTTGGGTGCCATCCTAGGCACCAAAGGTTGCAGGTTTGATTCCTGGGCACATGTCCAGTTGCAGGCTCAACCCCCGCTAACATTGATGTCTCTCTCTTTCTCTCCCTCTACTGTCCTCTCTCTCTAAAACTCAATAAACTAGTCTTTAAAAAAAAAAAAAAAAAATGGCAGAGACTTTTTCTTTTTAATCCTCGCCAGAGGACATGTTTTCTTTACTGAGTTTAGAGAAAAGGGGGGGGGGGGGGGCGGGCGGGGAGAGAAACATCAACCAGTTGCCTCCCATAGGCATCCTGACCAGGGATCGAACCTGCAGCCTTTAAGTGTACAAGGCGACACTCCAACAACTGAGCCACACTGGCCAGGGCGAAAGGCAGAGACTTTGTATTCAGCAATTCCACTTTTCAGCAAGTTATTTATTTGGAAAGAATTAGAGATAGTCACAAAGACTTATGGATTAGGATAGTTACTGTAACCATATTTATAATAATGAAAAATTGTAAATAACCTAGATAAGAATAGTTAAATAACAGATGGTACCTTCAGTGGTACAAAATACTGTGTAAAGATTTTTTAAATTATGTTTTAGAATAATATTCAGATACATAAATAAAATCAAGCAGGTTAGAAAATAGAACATATGCCCTGGCCGGTTTGGCTCAGCGATTAGAGCGTCGGCCTGCGGTGAGAGACCCGGGTTCGGTTCCCGCTAAGGGCACGTACCTCGGTTGCAGTTTGTCCCCGGCCCTGGTCGGTTGTGTGGGTGGCAGCCACTCGATTGTTCCTTTCACATCGATGTTTCTCTCTCTCTCTCTGTTCCTCTCTCTCCCTCCCACTCTACCTGAACAAAAAATGGAAGAATGTCCTCGGGTGAGGATAAAAAAAAAAAAAAAAAAAAATTGAAAATAGAACATATATTCCAATCCTAGTTTTTGGGAAAAAAATACATATTCATATAGAGGTACACACAAAACCTTAACAGTAGTTAGCACGAGGTGATGGAATGGTAGTTAATTGTTTTTAACTTTTCTGTATTTTATACATTTTTTTTTTTTTATCCTCACCCGAGGACATTTTTCCACTTTTTTGTTCAGATAGAGCGGGAGGGAGAGAGAGGAAGATAGAGAGAGAGAAACATCGATGCGAAGGGACACATCGAGTGGCTGCCACCCGCATGACCAACCAGGGCCGGGGACAAACTGCAACCGAGGCACATGCCCTTAGCGGGAACCGAACCCGGGTCTCTCTGTACCGCAGGCCGACGCTCTAACCACTGAGCCAAACCGGCCAGGGCTGTATTTTCTACATTTTTAAAAACATGTTTTGTTTACAAAAATTGTTTTTCCTTTATTGATTTTTTTCTAGAGAGAGAGGAAGTGTGAGGGAGAGAGAGATAGAAACATTGATGAGAGAGAACATTGATTGGCCACCTCCTGCATGCCCCCCACTGGGGATTGGGCTCACAACCTGGGCATGTGTCCTGAGCGGGAATCGAACTGGTGACTTCTTGTTGTGTGGGTTGACCCTCAACTACCAAGCCACACCAGCCAGACAAAAAACCATGTTTTTTAGGGAGAGAGAGAAACATCGATCGACTGCCTCCTGCATGCCCCCTACTGGGAATTGAGCCCTAAACCTGGCATGAGCCCTAAACCTGGGCATGTGCCGTAACCAGGAATCGAATCGGGACCTCTCAGTCCATGGACTTATGCTCAATCTACTGAGCCACCCTGCTGAGGCTAAATTTTTTTACATCAATTTTTTTTTTTTTTGGTATGTGCCCCTAGCGGGAACTGAACCCAGGACTCTCTGGTCCACAGGCCGACGCTCCAACCGCTGAGCCAAACCGGCCAGGGCAAGGGTAAATTTTTTTAAACAAACATATTGGTGGGACATTGTTGCCAGCTCAGAGCCTAACCACACAGATTCAAAACCTGATTCTGACCTTTACAAGCTGTGGAATCTTAGGCAAGTTGCTTATTTTCTGTGTGCTTACTTTCTCAGTTCTCTTATCTATAAAAATAGGAATGATAATAATAATACTTTTCCAAATTAGTTGATTGTGAGGACTGAGTTAACATGTGATAGGCATTAGCGATATAGCACCTTGTACACAGTAACTGCTTCAAGTTTTAGCTATTATGTATCGCTTTTATGATCCAAAAACAGAAGTGTTGCCCTGGCCGGTTTGGCTCAGCGGTTAGAGTGTCGGCCTGCGGTCTGGAGAGACCTGGGTTCGGTTCCCGCTAAGGGCACGTACCTCGGTTGCAGTTTGTCCCCGGCCCTGGTTGGTCGTGTGGGTGGCAGCCACTCGATGTATCCCTTTCACGTCGATGTTTCCTTCTCTCTCTCTCTCTTCCTCTCTCTCTCCCTTCCACTCTATCTGTACAAAAAAAAAAAAAAAAGGAAAAATGTCCTCGGGTGAGGATTAAAACAAAAACAAAAACAGAAGTGTTAATAATTGCTTTATTTTTGTTTTTTTGTTTTAATATAGAATTCTAGATCTTTATCATTCTTTTTTATTATTTATTTATTTATTTATTTATTTATTTTAAATCCTCACCTGAGGATACTTTCCCATCGATTTTCAGATAAAGTGGGAGGGAGGTGGGAGGTGGGAGGAAGAGAGGAACATGGATGTGAGAGAGAAACATTGAGTTGCCACCCACACGACCCCGCCAGTGCTGGGGACAAAGGTACGTGCCCCTAGTGGGAACTGAACCCAGGTCTCTCTGGTCCATGAGCCGATGCTCTAACTGCTGAGCCAATCCGGCCAGGGTAAGATCTTTATTATTCTTAAATCAACAGGAAAATTTTTTAATGATTTCCTATATCAAGCATTTCTAATAAATTTAATGTGATTTTTATTTTTATTTTTGTTACAGATGTTTCTCCTTTTTCCCCCATTGACACTCCCACCCCACCCAACACCTTCACAGTATCGCTGTCTGTCCATTGGTTATGTATATGTGCATATAAGTTCTTAGGTTTATCTCTTCCTGCCTTCCCACCCTCTTCCTCTGAGGACTGCCAGTCTGATTCCTACTTCCATGTCTCTGGGTCTATTTTGTTCATTATATTCCATAAATAAGTGAGATTATATGATATTTGTCTTTCTCTGATTGGTTTATTTCTTTTAGCATAATACTCTATGGCAGCTCTGTGTAAAAATTGATCGAAGATGAAACTATTGACCAAAATGATGTCTTAGTAAGTTTTAACTTATCCATGTCTTCTCATGAAGTTGACCTCTGGGGCTACTGAAATCTAATGCTTCAATCATCTTATAAATCTGTATTCCCCAAACTAAAATCCTTGAAATGGTTTTCTTTTCTCTTTTTCAGGGAGGGGCTTTTTATTTCATGGAGCATGTTGCAGCTGAGCAGTCAACCTGGAATTACTTCTGGCAACAGGTCCTGGATCCTGTTTGGTTCCTTCTGTTTGATGGGTGCAACCTGACCAGAGAAAGCTGGAAGGCTGTGGAGCGGGCCAGCTTCTCCAAGCTGAAGCTGCAGCACATACAGGCCCCGCTGTCCTGGAAGCTGGTGCGCCCTCACATCTACGGATATGCTGTGAAATAGCGCGAGTGGGGAGTAGTGCTGAATGAATGGCTCAAATACTTTAAGGCTTCAGTTTTACACTTAAAATACTAATTGGGAGAAGAGAAACCCTTTTTTAAGTAAAGTCGAATTTCAACCCCACAAGTTTATGTTATACCCTATCCAGCCATTTTCTATTGTTTTCCAAAGAATCTGTCCACGTTAGGTTGCACTGCTGTTTTCTGATTTTATTTAGGCTACACTTGGATTTGAGTTTACTTGCATGTTGTTTTCTTTTACAACACCTATGATCGTTTGTAAATATGTATTTCTATGAGCACCTGGAAAGAAAGATCTGTTTGTTCTCCTGGCATATAATAAGTGCTTAATAGATATTTGTTGAACAAATTAAGTAAACAAAACAAAAACAGCTTTGAACTCTCCTTTAAAAGGAAACCATGAGCCCTGGCCGGTTTGGCCCTGGTTAGAGCATCGGCCTATGGTCCAGACAGACCCAGGTTCGGTTCCCGCTAAGGGTGCATACCTCTGTTGCAGTTTGTCCCCAGCCCTGGTTGGTCATGCGGGTGGCAGCCACTTGATCTTTCAGGTTGATGTTTCTCTCTCTCTCTCTCTCTTCCTCTCTCCCTCCCACTCTATCTGAATAAAAAATGGACAAGTGTCCTCGGGTGAGGAGAGAGAGAGAGAGAGAGAGAGAGAGAGAGAAAATAAAAGGAAACCATGAGCTTTCATAATTGAAGTCTACCATTATCCCCAAACCTTAGTTTATTCAGTAACTTCAAAATGTTTTCAACTGTCACCCTGGGCAGTTTGGCTCAGCGTTAGAATGTCGGCCCGCAGACCAGAGTCACTTGGATTCCTGTCAAGAGCACTTGCCTCAGTTGTGGTTCGTCCCAGCCCTGGTGGGGTCGTGCAGGAGGCAACCAGTCGGTGTCTCTCTCATATTGATGTTTCTCTCTTTCCCTCTCCTTCCCTCCCTCCCTCCCACTCTATCCGATGATAAGTAAAAATAAGTTTTCAACTGTCTTATTTAAGTTGTTACCCAACAGATTTGAGTTTCGTCTTATCTTTGAGAGCTTGGTGAAATAAGCAGTTAAATAGCTCAGAAGAAAACTTTGAAACAGGAGGAATGAAAAGATCTTAATGACACAAACTGAACAAAGAAAGACTGGTTGAAAATTTTATTTGAGCCCCGGCCAGTTTGGCTCAGCGGTTAGAGCATCGGCCTGTGGGCCAGAGAGACCTGGGTTCGGTTCCCGCTAAGGGCGTGTACCTCGGTTGCAGTTTGTCCCCGGCCCTGGTTGGTCATGCGGGTGGTAGCCACTCAATCTATCCCTTTCACGTCGATGTTTCTCTCTCTCTCCCTCCCACTCTATCTGAACAAAAAATGGAAAAATGTCCTCGGGTGAGGACAAAAAAAAAAATTTGACACTTTGATATATTCATGAAACTGTCTGAGGTAGCTGAGGTTCTTGGGTTCATTTTTCTTATTATGTAGCATATACTTGCTGAATGCGGAAAGTTGTAGGCAAGGAAAAGGCCCACCGTAACTAGGAAAACTTTGTATAATTAGGTACCCTTTGTAAGAGCCCGTAAAAACCAGGCAATCTGCAAGTCTGGAAAGAAGTGGACAAGTATTTGTTGAATTATTTTGATCAAATTTGCACCCCTGTCCCAAAATGATTTATTTTTTTGTTCCTTGCAACCATGGAAACCTCTGAAAATTATCCAAGTGCTTTGAAAACAATGTTGGGTTGATCAGTCATAGGGTCTTAGAGTTTTCAGCAATAGTTTACATGTATTTTAATAAATTTAGTATATTTTCTGAGATGATTTTGCAAAAGGACTACTTTATCAAATCAATAAATTTGTATGCATTTTAGGAATGGAAATAAAATAAATATATATTTGCTGGCTTGGTTTCTTTTATTTTTTAATCCTCATGCGAGAACATGCTTTTTAAAAAAAATTGATTTGAGAGAGAGAGAGGAAAGGAGAGAGAGCTAGAAACATCAATTGGCCGCCTCCTGCATGCTGCCTAGTGGGAATTTGACCCACAACCTGGGCATGTGCCCTGACCTGGAATCAAACCAGCGCATGGTGCATAGGTCGATGCTCAACCACTGAGCCACACCAGCCGGGCTACCCTCGCTTTCTATAGACTGAGGTATAGAGAAATAAATAAAGTTTCTTACATTCTACAAGTTACAGGGCAAGTCTTATAAGCCCTTATTCCCAAAACCATGGAACATGTTTTGAATATAACCTTCTTACTGCTTTCCTCCTCAGGCCCAGAAAACATATTTTTGATAATCCCAACAAGCATGAGGAGTGAGTCTCAATTGGCTCTTACTGACGATACTGGGTCACAGCCCTTTCCTGAACCAGTCATGTTTAGATGGGATGGATTATGCTGATTGGCTCAAGTATAGGTCCCAGTGATCCATCTCTGGGGCGGAGCACACCCAGACCATGTGGACCGAGACAAGGAGACTTGTGGACCATCCAGATGAAAACGGCCTGTGACGGGGGAAAGCAGGAATGGATGCTGGGAAGGCATGCCCCAAATCCCAGGATAAGCTCATTGTTGCATTTTTTTTTTTTAAATCCTCACCCAAGGATATTTTTTCCATTTATGTTCAGATAGACTGGGGAGGGGAGGGGAGAGAGAGAAAGAGAAACATCAATGTGAGAGAGACACATCAACTGGTTGCCTCCCACACAACCCTGACTGTGGCCAGGGATGCAACCTGCAACCGAAGTATGTGCCCTTGATCAGAATCAAACCCACAACTCTTTGGTCCACAGGCCAACCTCTAACCGCTGAGCCAAACCAGCCAGGGCTTATTGCCGCATTTTGATCAGACCCTCATCTGCCTTCCTGGGGTAGACCATACGGCACTGTGCTCACAACACCGGCTTTTCAGTGGGATAACTGCATACAATAAGGAAAATAAAAGACAAAATGGCACTGACTTTGGCATCAAAGTGATTGAAGTCAAGTCTTGGCTTCATTGACCATGTGACCTTGAACAAGTTACTTCTCTAGTCTCACTTCTCAACCTGTGGGTCGCGACCCCTTTGGGGGTCGAACAACCCTTTCACAGGGGTCGCCTAAGACATAATAGTAGCAAAATTACAATTATGAAGTAGCAACAAAAATAACTTTATGATTGGGAAACTATATTAAACTATATTAAACGTGAGGAACTATATTAAAGGGTTGCAGCATTAGGAAGTTTGAGAACCACTGAGACTGTCTTACAGGGTTACTGTGAGGAGTTAACGAAGTGAAGCACTTGGTGATTATTAAATGTTGAACTTCATTCAACAAATATGTGAGTGCCTGCTGTGGACTCTATTCTTGGTGCTTGGCTTGGAGTCCTGAACAAGTTGCACCTGGTCCCTGCTCTCCTGGAGCCCACAGTTGTGATGATGCTGTTTGTGAGGGAGAAGCTTGGGGTGCCAGGAGCATGGAACCCGACCTGTCCGGGAGGGAGAGGACCAGAGGCTTCCTTGAGGAGATGATATCTGAGTTGAATTCCAGAAGATGAGTAAAGAGTATTTCAGCCTACCAGAGCAGCTTGTACATCAACAAGTGAAAGAGGGAAGCAGTATATTCAAGGAACTGAAGGAAAGCAGGCATGGCTGGGTACCAAAGCCTTACAGGTGGGTTTTGGCATGGCTACTACTTCTATCAGCTTCTTCCTAATTTTGTTAAGAACCTGGGCCCATGAGCTCAACACTTATTTGAATGGCTAACCAAAAAAAGACATTAAAACTTTTTATTTATATTATAAAACATTCTGTTCCTAAGTATTCTGTTTCTTCTGAATTCCTACATTATTTACTTGACTAGAAGCTGAACCACTGCATAATAGTTCCTTTTGTACTCTTGACCTTAAATAAGCTTTTCCCTTTGGTATTGCTTCAGAAAACACAGAACTTAACATAACTGAAATTTAATTCTTGTTTATCTGTTAAGGCAACCGAGAGGGTAATGAATCGTGGCAGACCAATGTCAACAAAAGCAAAACAGAAAACTGTTCAGTGCTACTTTATCTCAATATTTAAAACCTAAAGCATCGACACAATTAAAGAATAGCCAGAATTCCCCAAACCACAGACCCACCACAGAATCATAGTGGAGGACTTGTTAACTGAGGACACAGAAATAAACATAAAGTAGTCAATGTTCCCAATTTCTAGATAAAATTTAAAAACATAGTAATATGCCAATCTAGCAAGACATTATTTTGTTTCTAAAGGAAACTATTTGGGAACCTGAACAGAATTTCATGGGAATGAGAAAAATTACCATTCACAATTTACCATTCCTTAAATTAAAAATCTCTTACGTCCAATACACTTAACTCAGTCCTTCTCAATCTTTAAAATGTATTTGACATTGATGTCAATGTTCTCCTTGGAATGAGCCTCTGACTCCATAACTCTAATAGCTAATAATAAAATTTCCATTTATTTTGTGCCTTCTTTACACCAGGCACTACCTTTTTATACATTTCATATACTACTCATAATGCTACAAGGCAAGTATAATTATCTGCATCTGACAAATGAGCAAGCAGACCAGTGAAGTTCTGTGACTTACCGAAGGCCATATGGTGAGTGGCCGCACCACTGGTTTGCCTGCCTGTGAAGCCCAGGCCTGTCCGCAACACTGCTTCTCAAGGTCTTCAGCATCCAAGTCCCTGTAATTCTGTCTCCTTCCTCCACCATTTCGCTGTGAACTGTCCCCTAAGACTCATTCAGCATGTGTTCAATTCCGAGCCTTTCTAATATTCTTAGGTTGTGAACTATCACCTGTGTGAAAAAGATTCCTGAACCTCACAGTTTTGCCATTGCTTTGATTTTTAGAATTTAACACATCAAAAATAGAATTCACTGTGTCCTTCCCTATATAAGCAATAGTTCCCAACTCCCTCAATACCTATAATTATTTCCCAAGTATCAGATAAAGTGAGGCCCTTCAGAAAGCATTTGCTGGCTGTTTCAAGAAACTTCGTCCTTGAGAAATCTCTTTGCACCCACTAATACCTGTTAGTGTGATTTCACATCACCAATCTCTCTCTCTCTCTTTTTTTTTTCTAGTGCCTAACACCAAACACAGTGCTTACTTACTACATAGCATTTACTGATCGATTCATCATCAAGCCCTATCTCTTTTACATACCTCTCAGTTGGTCCCTTCTACTGCATTTCCACAGCCACCACCTTAGTCTGAGAACTACTGCCTAGATGATAACATGTACAGATGGAGTGGGGGTGGCTGCAATGACAAGCCATTTCTGCAGTAACTTGTTGGTTACCGTACGATTCAAGGATATGACAGAAAAGTAGCTGTAAGGTGAAGGAGAGATACTACATCTAGGTACAATGGTAAAAATAACAACAACAACAAAAAAAAGCACACTCCTTTTGCAACTGACTGAACCTTCTTTGCCCCCCTTCACCTGATTCA